CTGCTTCGGATACCTGCTTCAGACATCTGAACCTGCCCACGCCCTGGGCTCGGAATCGGGCCAAGCATGCTGCCGGCGACGAAGATGGAGGAGTTCCTCATACAGATAGGGGGCTTCCCAATTTGGGGCAGCACCATTGCAAGACTGAACCACAAGTGCAACCAGTGCTTAAAGGAAATGAAAGAGAGGGGCAGAAGCTGACGAAGCTCGAGTAGCTACATCGTCCAAGAGTGCATGTCAGATTGTTGACGGTGAACTGGGTAGCAAGAATTTGGGTTTGGGGGGCAGGGAACAAGGGGAGCATGGGGAGCCTTACGGTCTCCAGAAAGTACTCGACACTTCTCGTGACGGCTACGGGTCAGTGCAAGCATGATATTGATATATCAAGACAAAGGGTCTTGCATGTGGATCGAGGTGAGGCTAAGCAAAAAAACATCGGCGAGGTCATGTCCATTGATATGTCTCAGGGTCAAAGAGTAATGTATCAACATAAACAAAACACCCAGGACGATGGACGCGACGTAAGGGTATGAATGGATTCCTCACGTGCTCCCTGCAGCGCTTTCCTGCTCGAGTTGGCGGACTTTTCCACGAAGTCCCGCCTTGCCAGCGTTGCAACATCTTCACGAACTGCCTGAAACATGACGAAAATTTGAACTAAAGTGACTAAACATCTTGCCAGCTAAGGTGCCGCAGTACTTTCGCCTTCCTCCATGGTCACCTGTACGAAGGCAAGCCTTTGTGGTGACTCCAGACAGCAAGAGACAAATGCAAGAGAGAGCAGACGTCCTCGAGGCTGTTCTTCTCCTCGATGAGCTTCGCATGGCTCCGGGCTTGCTGCTGGAGCTCGTTCTGGCAAGCTGACTTTGACTCTACGTCCGTCGATTCAGGTAGCCATCTTCGTTGGCAACCATCTCACCCTTCAACATCGAAACTGACAGAAACGAACTGAATCTGCAGCGCCATGTCCAAAACACACATCGCCGATCTCTCTGAAGCGCCGCGCCTCCATTACCCTCAGCCTGCTTGCAATGTCACCACCGCTGCTGCGACCTGTGCACCATGCAAGAAGCTCTTCAGTTGATGCCCATGCCCATCAATCTCATAAGGCTCAGGCCACCAATCTTCTCGATGAGGTCTTCGGCCTGCTTCCTTGCCTCGCCAATATGTTCAACTAAATCTTTGCTGAACGCTCACGGCTTGACTTCCTGCCAGGGACAAGCAAGGAGTGATGATCACATCTGGTCATGTTCCATGTTGCCGCGTCCCCCAACTGGGGCACCGCGCATCTTCGCTCTCGCAGAAAGCCTGTCGGGCACAGACAGCAACGGCCAACCGAATACGAATTGTCATTCACCATGGGCCTGACAAAATTAGCAGCAAGCACGCCGCCCAGACTAGGCTAGACTGTTGCAGGAAGAAAGCATGTCTTTGCCCAAGCGACCTGCAGCAGCCCCTCGTACTCTTCGTGGCATCTGCTGGCCAGGCGGTCCACCTCAGGGGAACAGGACGTGAGTGGCATGCCACGACAATAATGCGGACAAGCCTTGAAGAACTGCAACAAACAGCGCTGTCTTCCAGCTCTCTTCGCTCTCTTGTTTCTGTCGGGCTTGCTGCTTTGACGTCACAAACACAACTTCGAATATGTAGACAGCCACAGACTCAAAAAAACATGAGCCCGTAGATTCAATTAACTCTCCAACGAAGATGCTTGCAAGTTTCAGAGACTGGTTGCTTAACGTAAACAGTTGGTTGTTTGAAGCGCTGCTTCTCAGATCTTGTGATGTTCTATTTGCATCACTTGCAGACCATACGGCCTGCCAGCACTTACACGTTCCGCGTTTGGTCTGCCCGGTGAAATGTAGTTCGCGAAAGCAATGTTACTGCGATGCAAATTTATGCACGATCTCTGCACGATTGACCTGGTTATGGGGGAATTGCCTCGCAGACCCTGCATCATCTCCAACCAACCCATTGTCGACATGAGGATCCCAATCATCACCAGTTTGCTCTTATGGCCATTTGATGCATCATGCTTCCGTCATACTTGCATCCTCAACAGCAACCAAGATCAGGTCAAAAAAGGCATCAGGTACCTGGGGGCATCGCAGATGCTACTTGGTGTGTGCAGCACGTGTGCCAACCTGTGTCAATCTTACAGAGCCCACTAGCTGCGTTTCGGGTTGACCGCACCCTCACCCCGCACCCTCACCCCTCTTCGAAAGACCTTATTTACATGTCCGCACCCTCGTTCGTGTGTTTGCAAAAAGGAAGCCAAATCCTGCCACCCGACATCAACAACGATCTCAAACCCAGGCCTGCAAGCTCACTTACGCTGCAGGGGTTCAACGTTTCGAGTTCAGCGCTCTTCCAATTTGCTTCCTCGACCCTGAGTCGCTTTCCGTCACCGTGCGGAAAGGAAACTGAGAGGTGCAACGCTTGGACCACCAGCATGCATGTCCCGTGCACTGGCTATGACTCGACAGAGGCGGCCCGCGAGCACGCGAACACAACTCTTGGGCTAGGTATCGTCGCCGCAACTGGACGGCACCTTTGGCGTTGGGGTGATAGGTGCACTGAACACAGGCCCGTTGTCTGACGAGGAATGCGCAACACCACAGCGTGTTGCGCTGCTTCTATCCTTCGAACTGCCCGGTGGTGCCGGATGTTTTGTTGAGATTCTGGTTTTGCGGGTTGCCCTACATGCACCTTTCGGATGGCGTGCACACACAAGTGGAGTTTGGAGCCTGAAGCCGAAACACCCCTCTACAGCCGCTCGCACTCCGGCTTGGTTGCATTTCCCTGGCCAACACAGGCCTCCAGTAATTCGTCATTTGAAGGGCGGCGTGGCTCAGAAAAGCTGACTGCAAGAAATGCGACAAGCGCGAACGGGCTGGCAAACCCGAGCCGTCCCTCGCCAAGACCCGGTTGAGCACTTTAGGGCACGCCTGGGCAAAGGCTACGAACTCTTTCGCGCGTGTGCCATCCGGGGCTTTCCGAGATTCCTGAATCGCCTAGACCCGCCGTTTCCTCAATCGCGGAAGGTTTCCTGAATCCTGGTCTCCTGAACCTTCGGGTTCTGGATCGCAGTCGAACCCTTCGGTCCAGTTTGCCCTCATAACGTCACGAAAAGGCCACAACTGCCGCTGCAACCCTTGAGGTTTCATTTCAGGGTTTTTTCAGGCCTATTCAAAGCTAGTCGCCGGCCTCCCTTACGCAAATCAATGCCATGCGGTCAATAGCGTGCGCCAGAGAAGCGACCAGCGGCTGAGCCTGACAACATCACGAAGATTGAACATCTCAAGTCCAGAACGCGGAATGACAGGAAAGGCGCATGCTGATCTGCTGCGCCCTTCTTGGGCCACTGCCACCGGAGCCAGCTTGTCGGCCACAGAGAGAAGCCGTTGGAGCGTCCGCCGCGAATCCCCGAGCATCGACTGAAGCCGCTCCTCCTTTGCAGCATCGCCTCGTTGCAGCCGCAGCCCAGGCTCCAGAGCCGGCAACGGCCCGCTCACCTCAGGGGCACAGAGCCCGCATAGGCAGCAAACTCGAACATCCTATGGAGACTCTCGACAGACACGGAGAGAGAGAGAGAGAGAGGGAGAGGGAGAGAGCGAAAGAGAGAGAGAGAAGGAGAATGAGAGAGAGAGAGAATGCAACTGTAAAAAAAAAAACCGACACAAGGAGAGTTGAAGTGTCCCAAGCTCTCGGGGGAGGGGGGGGGGGGGGGCGCCTCACGGAGGAGGCCCTGGAGGACCTGTGCCAGACCGCGGGCCTCGTTTTCCCGTTGCTTCAGCGCCCGCACCAGCGCCGCCAGTGTTCCTTTCTCCGGGTTCACCACGGCCACCAGCCGCTGCTCCAGCGCGGTGCCTTTGAAGTGTCGGCTTTTCATGTTGCAAGCGATGTGTCGGACTTCTCCAGGGTTGAGGTCCAATCGGAGAGTGTGCACGTCATTCGGGAGCGACTGCGTCTCCAGTACCGTGCCATTGGTGGAACCAGGGTCCTTGACCAGTAAAGGTACGCGGGAAGCGACCTGGAGACTTGTGAATGCCTGTTTTGTGCCTCTCCACGAGTTCTCCAGGTTCTGAAACTCGATTGTCAGGGAGTTGGTCAGTTCTTCCAAGTCGACAGCCGCATCCTCCAGGGTCCAAGGCCCTAAGGCGGGTTTGTGCACATTGGGTGATGGTACTGGACTCTCCAAATCTTTCCAACCCGTGCCTCGTGCAGGAAGGGCAGGTCACTGCTGACATTTACCATTTCCTCCACTGGCCTTCGGTACCGCTGTGATCTTTCCTGAACTAAATCGCGCAATCCCTGACAAGCCTGAACAGCTTGCCACGAAGGATCCCATCCAGCGGGCGGAAAGGAATCCTTCTCTCCAAACACTTGAGTGGCATTTTCACCTTCACTTCTTCCACTCAAAATACCCTTGTAATGCTTGTACTTCTCAGAATGTTCCTCCACAGCATCTGACGCTGAACAAGCTCCCTCTGGAACAGTGCCATCGTTCGTTTGCAGGATGCACGGAAGTAGGTTTGCCCGGAGTTCGTTTCGCTTGGTGTGGCGAATGTCCTGTGATCGGTGGAAGACTCGAGGAGTGCGCAGCAACCGCCGTACGCCATCGCCAGTGCCTTCTCCGCCTTCGAAGCCTTTCAATTTCAACGCCTCAGCAGGGGTCAAAGGCCTCACTGCCTTTGCCCCCCCGGGCGTGCGTTTACGAGATGTTTGCACCGGTAGCGCCATCGCACATTCGCCATGGAATATGCTCCTGCCCTGGCATGTTACTACAGATCGTAGACTGCTACATGCAAGCTAGGAGGTCTAGGGATGAGGGCTGACCACTAAAGCATTCCAAAGCACAATGCTTTGTCACTGAACTGGAACACACTGCAAAAACTCTGAACCCAAAACATGGCATGACGGAATCTATCCTGCCAAGACATAGACCCCTCGTACTGCACACAGGCACGTGACAAGTGACAAGGGACTTCACAGAGCGCCTCCCCTGCTGCTTCCCGCCTGATGTGCCGCACATGCTCTCTATTGATACTGTCGCTACGTGCGACCTGCTGCAGCAACGCATTGCGGCACCAGTTCAAGCACAGCCCCAATCCTTCGAATGGCCGCCAAGACAAAGCCTCTTTTGCGCCTCGGTAGCCGAGCCTTGCAGCTGAAGTGGCACAGTGAGCTCAAGGTTCGGGCTTGCTCCTCAGATGCTGCCACAGCTCCGCCTGGCAAAGTCACAAAAAAAACTCGACTTCAAAAAAGAAACGAAGCTGAAACAAAGCTTCGATGGCAACATCGATGGCAACATCGATGGCAACATCGATGGCAACTCGGAAGCCGCACCCAGATGGGGAAGTCGCTCACAGCAAAGCGGCCAGCACCAACTCCCAGAAGGTCCTAACTCACAATGTGGCCAATCAGGGCAGCGCTGAAAAAAACATGCCTGCATGGAAGCGAATGGAAGCGCACTTCATCGCCACTACAGTACTACGTGCATACTCATGCATACTCATGCATACTCCACCATTTCATACTCGCACGGTCCCAGAACATGCATGAACAAATAGGAACAAGCTCGGGTGTCCCAAACCCTCTGAAGCTTCACCGCGTGAAGGTCTGAGAACACCGACCCAGTTCAGTTGCATTCAACTCCATTCACGTCTTCAACCCTCGCTTTCTTCAAAAATCCGTTTGCGCTCAATTCCCGGTCCTCCATGGCGTCCTCTTCCGCTCCAGCAACAGCCGCTTCGTAACATCCATGCATTTTTGCGTACCTACCATCAAGGCACTCACAAGGCATCAAAAGATGCCCCAAACAGTCTCCATGCGAGGCCGCACGCTTTCTCGATCAGAGCCGGCCATTCCTACGTGAGCAGCTTGCAACACTTGTTACCTGATTATGTGAGATGTGAAAGATGCTTCACGAGTATGCTTCCAATGCCTGTCCGCCACAAGAGCTGCTCAGCGCTCTTCCCTGCCTAGGCTGCGGCATCCGGAATGCTGTCTTTGAACTTGCGCTGCATTGAGAATTTTCTGGAGCCCAAAGGCTCTGGCTCAGGCACTGGAAGAAGGTCATCGAGAATCTCGTATATCCACCTCCCATCCTGGCTCTCATGTGCTCTCATGTGCTCTGAACACTTCCTCCTGCAAAAACCCCGCCTTGTAAAACCTGACACCGTAAATCCCAGCTTCAGCGTCACGATGAACTATCAGCCTCCGTCGTCATTGTTGAAATAAGACATTCCAGGCAGAAAGGAAACGAGAAACACGATTTATTGAAAGGCACTGGCTCGTTGGGATCTTTGCCCACGCTTCGCATCATTGCTAAAGCGCCTTTGGAGCGCGGCTCAAGACGATCACCATGGGATATGTTTACATTGCAGCGCGCGCCCTGCAGATAAAAGCTTCCAAGCACACCCGGCGTGATCACCTCACAGCAGTAAAAAGCAAAACTAAGGCGAGGCACATGCAGTGGCACAGACCTCTCGCCGTAAAGTACATGCTCCACGTGTAGGCTACCGTTCAGTGCACACGGCTTTGCTCTGAAATGCATGGCTCCGCTTTAGCGGTCTCGTGAGGCGTTACCAATAACACTTGCTTGTCTGGTGAATGTGGGCTAAGCAATCGGTGCTAGCCGCTTTTTCAGCAGTTTTTCAGATTGCAGTTCAGTGTGAGGCAACTTTTTTCACTACTTCCGGCAACAAGCTCTCTTGCGGCACAGCGGCTCCGGATTCCGAAGGGTCTCCTGCAACACAGACGTCCCAAAGCGGAATTGCTGGAATGCTTTGGCGTGTCTTGGAGCGTGAGCATGCTCAAGATGCAGATCCCCCCTTCCCCCCCTTCCATGGTATCTCCCCCGTGGTGTGGTGTGAGGTTTGGAGTTTTGGTTTAGGGTTTAATGTTGAGCATTTAACGATCAGCGTTTCGGGTTTAACGTTTTAGGGTTTAGAGTTTAGGGTTTGGAATAAAGAGTTTCAGCTTTGTGGTTTAAGATGTTTAAGACTGGGTATGGGTGAGACGGGGGATACCATGCGGAAAGGCGGGAAGTGAGGGGGACCGGCGAACCGCGAACCACGATTATATATATATATATATACTAGACACACGTGCGTGCTTTGCACGCACTTCGTGTTGGCAGGAGCGACGGGACAACTTTGGAGCGAAACGCTGGCGACGTGCCGACTTTGGGAGGGGGTGGGGGGGTGAGGGCTGAATGGCGGCGTTAAAGCCCGGAAGTTGGGCTTAAGCCATTAGGCTTCGCGTAAGGCTTCGAGCTGAACAGTAGCCACCTCCGCGGCTCGACTTTCCTGGGTTTTTTGGGTATTCAGAGCGGTTTTTGTTGCCGGACGCGGGGGGGGGGAGGGTTCCCAAGGACGGATGTCACACGTGTGTGTTTCACACGCTTCGCATCGGCACGGGCGAGCAGCAAACTTCGAACCAAGTGTTGAAAGCTCCCCAGACCAACGGACCTTCTTTTGTGCTCAGGGTGCTGGGCTTCGAGCCTGCCGAAGCCTTGGTTGAAGCCGAGGTGGGTTTAATGTGGTGTCGGAACGAACTCTGGGCTCAAGATCTTGAACTCAAGACCTTGGCACTTGGGGGAATCGCCCAGGGTTTGGGGGTGGGGGGCCTTGAACTCAGACGGGTGGGGGTGGGGGGGGTGGGGATGGGGTGGGGTGGTTTTTGGGTGGCGTGCACATGGAGGGGTGGTGGGGGGGGGGGGGGGCTGCCGCACCAACATGAAAACGACAACGGCCGTAATGATGTATTTCGTGTTGCGGACATGTTGTGAGTTGGTACGGTTCTGGCTTATTGGCTTCTGTTTTTGTAGTGATGAGTCGTGCGAAGAAAGGAAGCGGTGTACTGTGAGCGGACGTGCGGGACGAGTTTGTCAAACACACAGCTACTGGAACAGCCATTCGAGACGAAAATCCCTCAAAACGGTGCGTCTGAGTTCCTGCTTCAACCCATTACGGTTGCGCACTTAAGACGCAATTTAAATACGTACTTGATCTGGCATTTGCGATCTGGCATTTGCTACTGCGCTTTTTATGATATAAAACTTGTCGGCCGGTTCACGGAATAGTTCAGCAATTTAATTTATGTATCTGATCTCCGAGAAGCTTCCTACACGCACAACTTGGAAAATTTGAAGGTCAATGCAACTGCCATTTAAGTTAGAGACTTTTGCTATTGGAAACCGGTTAGTAGGCTAAGCCAAGTATGTAAGTAAAATGACCTAAGCTGCTTACACTCTTAAGTTGGGGAGATTAGAGCAATTCCAAGTACTGTTTAAAAGGGCTGACCGATGAGAATAATGTTTAAGTTAGAGACCACAAATTCGCACACAGATAATGGACTTAGTGCCTAAGTGCCTTTGAGCTGAATGCAACTTGACGTTTTGACGAAGCTATACAAAGCGACTTCACATATTTGACCTCAAGTTGTGTATGTTCGTAGATTACGCTAAGAACTATTGAAGTGGGGAGAATCGAAAACATTAGACCCTGATTCAACTTATCATCAGAAACTTAATATCTATCGAAGATAGGGGCCATGTTACTAACTTCGTATATGCTAAATACACGACCAATACAATACATAATCAAGATTGACCAAGAGGACTGCTGCCCTCGTGGATCTCCGAAGAGGCCAACCTCGAATCCTTGTGAAAGGTACAGCAAAAACCAAAGTCCTGGTGGCTTTGAGGGCTCCGACCGACACCAGGATGACCTGACTCCGGGCAGGACCCGTCTCGCGAACTCCAGCAATAGACCAGGCGCCAAGCACCATCACAGAGCTCAATGACTCAGACGGCGAGATGCCTCAGTGCGGTCAGAAGACTCGACTGCACACAGACGAAGTCCATCGTACTCGGCTTGAACGCAAATCCATCAGGATTGGGCACTTTTTGTCAAGCAGGTTAGCACAACAGCAAACCATGTCTACCACAAGATGATAAGCATTACAGTCACCTAACCTGTAACTACTACTCACCATATCACACTTGTTAATGCTCCATCTCCCATTCTTTCTAGTTGCGTCAACATCTGGGGCGTGAAATCTCGTCATGTACTCTTGATGCGGAGACTGATCAGCAGCACGCTTGATCGGACTGCGCGCCAAAGAAAATGTCGCTCTCAGTGGTGAGACTAGCCTGCAGCGCAGCTGCTTGCAAAAGATCTTCAAGCTGCGCACCGACGCTGCGTCAAGAAAGCAGCAACAGGCCCTCCTAAGCACCGCAGCCTGAACGCTGAAGAAAGCAATCGACAAAACTTTTACAAGTCAAAAGCTATGTGCAGGGATGGCCCTTGCCTTAAAGGGGGGGGGGACCCCGAAAAGAAACTGGTAACATTTCCAGGTCTCTCGCCGGGCATTTGGGAAAAACATGCAAACCTACCCCACAATCCATGTAACATACAAAAGACATGAAAGAGACAGAGAACTAAAGGATGTATGTGTAGGTCTTTGTGTAGGCAAGACACACAAGCTAAAATGTTACAATGCGGGGAGGGTCTCCTGGTAACATTTCCGACCGCCAAAATGTTTCCACGAAACCATCGGTAACTGACGCAGCGCCCCCCCTTGGAAACATTTCCTAAAGCAGGGCCATGTGCAGGGGGATGGCGAAGCGGGGTCCAGTTGCGCCCAGACTTTCTACGACTTTTTGACAATATGACGTTGCAAATTATGGCTTGTCACAGCCGGGCACTGCAGTGCGTTACACCTGAAAAAACTTGACAGGTATATTTGATATTTTCCCGGTGACACTGATGCTTTACTGATGATCAATGTTTTGGCAGCCATTCTGTTCCTGGCCCTAGAGCCTCTCCATTCAGATCCTAGGTGTTGGTCCAAAGCTCTGACATGAGATCTTGCCTAGTACGGCCGCGATCTGTCGCCGCCTCTTCCATTGCCCTTTGGGCCCTGAAGCTCGAAACGCAAACAAGTTGTTCTGTTCATGCTGCTACAAGTATGGCACCTCGCCGTCTGCAAGACGGACAACTATGTGCCCATCACCTGGACGGATCTCGTACCTGCAGTGAAGGTACACGCAAGCCTGAATGCAGGGCGAATCACGACCGGGCCATGACTTGTGCAACGGACTGCGCACCCCTGGGCCATGGCGAGAATCGCATCATTGGCCTCTGCCAAAGAGAATGGACTTCCAAACGTAACGTGATTAACGTGGTAATGACATGTGATGATATATAGAGCCAGAATCAGCGCAGGTCGCTTCAGCCTCCTTCGGGCTGTAGTACCTGATGAAAGCTGATGCTTGGCCGCTTTTCGACCTGCGAGGTTCGAATACGAAATATGGGAGCGGCCGGAGGGCCATCAACACTTTGCGCAGCAGCTTCTCGCACCTGCCAACCATGATGTGGACGTCCTCAACCCGCCTCGGTACCAACGTCACCATTGCAGAACTTGTGGATGCATTTGGAACAGAATGACTGCACTGGAATATGCTCACGTAGCTCTGGATGTTGTCGGTGCCGGGCCCATATGTGCCGAACACTTGCGACAAGGCCTGCACATCACCACGTATCCCATCAACAACTTCGTATGACTTGGCTGGCGAAAGAGCTCTGCGTTGACGAAACACTTGTGTTTATCACAAACGCATGAATCGCTAAGCCGCTAAGCTGCATGCTGTTGCGTGTTGTGTAGAAGGCCAGGACAATAGCTGTGAAGAAAAAGTGCTTGAGAACGGCCTGCTTGTTGATGTCGGTGGGCAAATTCCCAACATAGATCTTCGCCCCTGGCGCGCTGCCTGCAATCTTCTGGGATAAGTTCAGACGCTCGCCCTAAGCTTGTCCAGTGAGAGGCGGCTTCAGATGGCACAATGTCACAAGGCCTGTCAGCAATTTCAGCTATCAATCTGGGTGGCACTTGCGCCATAGTACCGAGAAATTTGCCTGGCCTTGACCTCCTTTGCTGCCGTCTCGTCCACCTGGCCTATCATTCTCATAGCCTTGCATTTCAGCAATGGAGCGGCTAGAGATGACAAGAGGTTGTACTATGTTGTACTGTGCCATGATTCAACGTAATTCGACGTATGTATTCCCATCGCGCCTCCATGACGCTCGGGCCGCTCCCTCGCGAAGCCTCGTCCTGGACTGCCAAAGCGCTCGAACCGGTCGAATCGCTCGCCTCTATCAAAGCCTTCCGGGCCACCACGGCCGTAGTTTCCCCGATCTCGATCGTTCCAGTCACGCTCTGGAGGTCGATGATCATATCCTCTGTCTATTCTCTCGCGCCGATCGTACTCATCACGATCTCGCAAACGCTCATGTCTGTCCGGCCGGTCAAGATGTCTATCGTAGCCTCTGTCGGGACCTCTGTCGGGACCTCTGTCACCTCTGAAGTCTCTATCGGCTCTATCATAACCGCTTCGATCATCTCGTGCGAATCCGCGGTCGTGACCTTGGTCACCGAGTCTGTGGACTACCCATGACTACCCCAAAAAAGATCCAAGCCATGCAGTTACGGAACTCTGACTTGAAAATAAAGACGAATGGAGGGGACATCGGGAAGCATCGCTGACTCGTCGCTGACTTCACGGCGAGACTATTCTCTGCAAGGGCAGCCTGACCTCGATATGTTGTCTGCTTACATGCTGCATAGCTACATGGTTGTGCTGGTTAGGGCAACACGTGAAAAAACTGGCATCTTGTCCATGTGGAATCCGACCTGCTGATGGCATACGTCTTAGACATGCTCGCTCATGCTTTGTGATTTAAGAAACTTTGGCATTGCCTTCACACCTACGGCAGTGTCGCCTGCGAGGCCTTTCACGCGACTAAGTTGCAACAAGGCTGAGCACTGACTGTTTCACTCGAGATTGTTTACCGGATTGTTTCTTGCATCTGTGGTTGCCTTCTTGGCAGTACGGCGGTAACTGCAAACATTCTACGAATTACAACAGCTTTTCTGCACTTGAAGAAGAAAATCACGAGATTTTCTCTGCAATTTAATCGGAAACCTTTCCTCCTTTCCCTCGGAACTTAGATTGGAAACCTAACTTGCTTCGATTCCGATATTTGAATATATATATATATATATGTATACATACATAGGATATGAACTCTTGCATGTTTTGAGAAAAGAACAACTCCGTTTTAGAAACAGCATCAAATTTTCTCCATTTAGACTGGGAACCGCTGTTCGATCTACATCTGGCGGGAAAAATCTAGCGAGGGCCTCGCCGTAGCGAAACCCTCGCGAAGGCCACCCTATCCACAGGAGGGGGGAGCGCAAGTGCCACTGGCAAGTCACCCTTAAGCCTGTGCAAGCCGTCCCAAACAGCCTCCGGCGTGCAGAGCAAAGTACATGAGCTTGTGACACACCCTAACAAAAAAGCATCCCGTGCAAACAAGAATTCAATATGTGTGCGGGAAAGGTTATAATGGTGAGCTTGCGAGCGTCCCCAAGCCACATGAGATTAAGCTCATTACAAACTGGTGCGTAAATCAGCGTTCGATGGGGTCTTTTGCCCAATTACTTATGTACTATACTCTCTCTGAGTCATCATGCGTTATCCGCACTCTGTTCAAGATTGTTGCCAAGCACCTTCGAGATCTGATTCCAGCAGCTTCTGCAACCTTTGGTCCCTGCCGTTAGTAACTTTGCAAAGCTAAACCTACAAGATCTTACAAGCTATGACAAGGTCATGGGCTCAGCTGCCGGCGAAGCTCGTCCCGTCCACCGCGAGGTCCATAGTCGGCACGGTCGGCACGAGGTGCATCGTAACGGTCATAATGTGCGTCAGAACGACTACGATCGTGAGGATCGTAGCGACTCGGAGCATCGTAGCTTCTGCGAGGTTCATAGCCATTGTAGCGGTCATCGAACTCTCGAGGCTCTTCTCGAGCACCACCTCGTGGAGTCTCTTGACCTCCAAAAGACAGGAAATGTGCTGTAGGCTGACTTGTTTTCTTCTATTATACATAGCGCTCTTGTTCTATAACAACTTGCTTGTATTTCTTGATTCTTCCCCAAACACTGTGCCGATGCCACTGCGGGGTTCGAAAGTCCAGATTGCTGCGGCCGTGCAGCGCCCAGGCATGCAGGCGTGTCACTCGTTGTGGGTCAACATCGCGCTTTGGGGCTCCCGAAATGTGGTTTTCATCGCAAAAAGCATGCTCTTGGCCTCGCATGGATCTCCCGCCTGGGTCCCGGCCACTGTTTGAGGCTTACATCGCTCCATGCATGTAGGGCTTGCGAGGAAGCCATGCGTTTGCGCATGGCCCCTCTGACCCAGCGACCCCATGTTGTGATAATGTGGCCGGTGCGTTCTTTCCTCTCCGTCCGTGCACCTGCTCCTCGTTAACTTTCAGGTCCGGTGACTGTGCACCTCGTGAAGTGCAGGACTGTCGTCACTTTTGGAGCCTCTTCGCGAAACGCAGAACATCGCTTTTTAGTGCCTCGATTGCTCGATTCATCGCTCTTGACATCGCTCTTGGAGGGTAGTGTCTTGGTCTTGGCTATTCTTTGCTTGAATTTGGAAGCTCTTCGAGGGCCTGGAATGCTCTCTCGCTTGGCGTGGTCCTGGAGTGCTGTGCGCTGTCAGACTTCTGGAAGTGCTGATCTTGGCATGCTCTTGGCATGCTCTGGGCATGCCCTGGGCATGCTCTGGGTGGTATTGACACTGCGTCTAAGATGGAAACTTGCACAACTGCCATCGCTGCAATCGCACACCCACACCTCTGTAGACCGGTCGGCCGGGAGGAGCCCTAGAAATCAAGCGCGGGCTCAAGGAGCTTTCAAGAGTTTGCAGGCGCTGGGCACGGGGCTCCCTCAGACCGCCAGCTGGTCCTGTCATACATCCCCCTGTGACTTTTTTGGCTGACAGAACATGCAGCGTTTGTTTCAACACAGCCTCGGTCATTGCTGTGTCCTCCGTCCTTTTGCACACATTCGACTCCAACTACATTTCCACACGTGATCTCACAAAATCTCGTGCTTCACTGTCCTTGCCCTTGCCTTTGCCATCGCCTTTGGCACGTGGCCGGGCCATGCTGACATGGATGGCATCTGCTGCTTCCTGGGAAGGTGGGTTGATGAGAAGAGCCTAGGAACGCTCGAAGCACTGCTAGAGGGTAGAGAGATTTTGCCATCTCCTCACGGAAGCGGTAGACATTGTTCAGGACCTTTGCAAGCCGAAAGCCCCTCTCAGCGACTCAGCGATTTGCCGTTTCTTGCGCTCCTCGCCTGGACCGCCGTCCTGGCGGCGTCCGGCGTCTCGTAGATGACGAAGCCGCAGCGCTGCAAATCATGTTCAGGGGAACTCAAAACTTTCTCTTTTGCATGCTCTCACTCTGGCTCTAACTCACTCGCTCGCTCCCCCGCCGCTCTGCCTCTCACACTCTTCTGCTTCTTCTTCTTGTTCTTCTTCCTCTGCAGGCTTGAGGTGCCCGAGCCTTTCCTCTTCTTTATGCACTGATGTCGTTAGTTCTGTATTTATGCTGTTTGTCTTCTGTACCTTTGCATCTTTTTTCATTTCTATCTTTGTCTATTTCGCTCGTTCTTTCCTTGTCTTTTGTTCTGCATGTCTTTCTTTTTGTCTGTCTGTTTGTCTGTGCTTCTTTATGCTTTTGTTGACATTTAGACATTTACGTGTTAAATCTACTTATTTGGTTTTTGTTGCATTTACTAACTTGGTCGGCTTTTTTAGTATGCCCAAACTTCTTCGTTTTGATATGTCCTTATTCATGCCTTCCCACCGTTCCTTAGTCATTTAGTCTTTCTTTGGGGCATGGCGGGAAACTTCACATGGGGAGAAACCCCCCTGCGGGTGCGCGCCCTGTTTGGGGCCTGTGCGTGAGTGAGCGAGCGAGTGAGTGAATGTTTGAGTGAGTCAGTGAGCGAGTGAGGTGAGGTTCACCTGTGGCATGGAATCAGTCGCGATTCGGGGATGTACCACAGACACAGACACACCCTTTGGGGTTCCACTCTTTGGGGTTTCACTTCAAAGTGTTGGAAGCCGGCGTGTCGTGGAATTACTCTCAACCCCTCACTCTGTATCAACCCCTCTTCCCACAAACAACAACGGATCCCAACACCTCCAGTCAAACCGGTCCGAAGCCTTCCCCCAATCCGCACAAACCTACTGAACCCACCATCACCATCACCTGTATGTGCCATTCGGATTCATGTTTTCGTGTCATGGTGTGTCTCTCAACGAGTTGTGCCTGTCCGTCCTGTGCTTCTTTATGCATTTCAAAAAACATTCGTTCTTTCTGTGTCTTTCGTGTATCTTGCGGTCTGTCTTTATGTGGTTCTTCATTTCATTGTTTCTTTGTTTCTGTACTGTTTTGTTTCTCGTTCTTTCTGTCTTGCAAAACCGGATCGGAAAACGCACAGGGACCAGACCCAAGAAACAAGGAAGACTCGGAGACAGAGGGGCCCAGGATCAGAACACAAGCACGACATCCGAAAGCGAGCTGCAGCGAGCTTCCACCCCATTGTTCGCACGCTCGCCTCACGGCGTACTCCACGGCGGCATTGACAAACTTTGGGTTACTTCGCGCTAGGGCTTGGGGTTTGAGGTTTAGGTTTTCGGGCTGCGATCTTTGGAGCTGTCTTTGCGACACTGCAAGAAGTGACCGTTATAGACATCCTGTAAAGCAGGCTGTGCATGGTACGATATGGTGCGGCATCGTTGTCGGTTATTGCGTAAACACACAAGCTTTGCTGAAGCTTGTCCGGGCAATTCTTGGATGGTACCTTCGCAACATATGGTCGAGCGAAGCGTTTTTGAGCACTTCTTTCCACGGCATCTTGGCAACACGTGGCCGAGCGAAGCAGTCTTGGAGCACTTCTTTGTATGTTTGAAATGTGGTCGTGGAAAATTTCAAACATTAATTTTCGGAAGACACTGTTGCATTTGCAACATGTTGTGACGCAGCGCTGGTGCAAGTGCCGCAGAGCACATGGAGAGGAAGTTCACATTGAAACCATTGGAGCACGAAATAAGAACCAACATTGTGTCACAATGCCCGTGCAACATTCATCGTACTCACACATCATTCCACTCATCTCTTCTACGTCATCAACATGTACTTCCTTTCCTACATCTTCGTCTTTACTTCCTCTGCTACCAGCGTCTGTCTGTCTGTCTGTCTGTCTGTCTGTCTGTCTGTCTGTCTGTCTGTCTGTCTGTCTCTCTGTCTGTCTGTCTCTCTCTGTCTCTGTCTGTTTTTCTGCCCACCTGCCTGCCTGCCTTCCTGCCTGCCTGTCTGTGTCTCTGTCTGTCTGTCTCTGTCTGTCTCTGTCTGTCTCTGTCTGTCTCTGTCTGTCTCTGTCTGTCTCTGTCTGTCTCTGTCTGTCTCTGCCTGTCTCTGCCTGTCTCTGTCTCTGTGTATGTCTCTGTCTGTCCCTGTCTGTGTCTGTCTGTCTGTCTGTCCGTCTGTCTGTCTGTCTGTCCGTCTGTCTGTTTGTCTGTCTGTCTGTCAATCTCTTGCTTGCTTGCTTGCTAGGCGTATGACCCCGCCCCCTTAAGGAAGGGAGCCGCCCCAATAACCGCGCACGACAGAGTTAGTCTTCGGTGTGAAACCCAGTACGTTCTGAAAATGGCCGCTTTGGCTACGGGTGGGGCAAAAACGTGCATGGTGAGGACTTACGCTGTCTGTAGTTTCCGCCCTGAATTAAGGCCCCGTCCCATTGGATTGGCTCCCCCCCACTGCGAATTTGGCAATGGCCAGGGATGCCCATTTGTGGTCCCCCTCCCTCCAACAATCGAACATCCCCCAAGTCAACGAACAACACCCGGGACCCACGAGGACAGAGGGGAACGGATGCGAATTTACTGAGTCTGCCTAAGTCAAAGTTCTCCCCCTACAGAATTGGCAGCGAGAGAAAAACTTTCAATACGATGGATATTTTACACTGTTCCTAGACGCGGCTCATTTTTTCAGCGCTGCTCTTGGCTGTCCACTTTCATGGTGATCTTCTCCCTGTCTGTTGTCTTTTCTTCTCAGATTGCGCCCCAATCGGCTGCTGGGTTGGTGGTTTCCACCATGGTGGTGAGGTGTGGTTGTGTGGGTCCTGGTTGCCAGCTTGGTTGTGGTGGTGGAAGTGGGCGCTCGGTGCCTCCGATGGTATTTCACATGGAGGTCTTGGTTGCGTCGTTGTGGTTTGCCGTGTGGTGGGCGATGGTATTGCACATGCCCCCGGGTCCGCTTCAGTGGTTTGTCTGGTGGGCGATGTTATTTCACATGCCCCCCAGGTTTGACTCGGCGACTTGCCTTTGTCCCCGCGGTCTTTGATTTTCTTCACTTGGTGGAGTGCTCGAGCTCGATGGTTGCGTACGCGGGTTCCTCCCCCTTGCCATCGCCATCGCCACGAATCTCCCTTGCGCATCTCGGGGTCGGTCTCCCATGGCTAGACCGTGGACAGTATGGATGTAGGGTAATATTCTTGACGGAGAAGGTCCTGGGGAAGGGTGGTAAGCATGTGCAAACTATGCTCTGCTATTTGGAGGTGTCGGTATCGATTTGCAGCTGCTACAGCCCCCCTGCGCGCTGTGTTCTTCAGGGTTCTCAAACCAAGTTATGGAAAGGTCCAGGAAAGATGCCAGCCTGTCCATCGAACGGAAACCACAGGCCCTTGAAGGGTTAGGGACACAGGCGCGCTGTCGGGCTTGAAAGAGCGGCGCGGCGACTCAAGCCCAGGATCGAGGGGCGGGTTCCCTCCCCCAGACTTGGGCCAAAATGGTAAATCTCTCTCTCTCCGTCTCTCTCTCTCTCTCTCTCTCCACACGCTAGGCCCCCCCTCTCCGTCTCTCTCTCTCTCTCTCTCTTTTTCTCTCTCTCCATTATCTGCCTCTCTTCTCTCTCGCCCTCGCTCGCTGTTTCTACTTCGCTTGCTCAGGCTGCCTCGTCAGGCCTGTTCGATCGAGATGCATCCATCAAGATTGCCTAGTTCGTGATTGGATGCGCATTCGTGTGTGTGCACGATGCCTACCTTCGGCTGCAAGCACAGTTGTTGAACTGCTGCCTCCTCCACAGGCCCGTACGTTCTGAAGACCTGCGCTGACAAGGATTTGCCTCACCCTGGCCCGCATCTACAACTGGCTCAGTTTGCATGCAGCCTGTTCAATTTCATCTTCTCGAATGTCCTTCAACAGTCGCGTGCATGCGCAGCACTTCAAAAGCAATACAACACAACCGAACGGGATTCTCCAAACACAGCAACATCGGCAATCAGTGTCCAGCGGCAGCTTCGCAACGAAGAGTTTTCTGCCTTCCGCCATCGCCTGACACATGCGCCAAAACATGTCAATACAAACAGCAGACTCACGTTGGTGCCAGCCTTCGGATAGGCCAAGCGCAACCCTTGCGAAAGCTGCGTGAAGCTAGTATTGAATCATTGATCGGCTGGTGTTTTGTGAGTTGGTTGCTGCATGTGGAGGACTGTCTCAAGAAGAGTTGCAGGTTTGGTGGTTTGGGTTGTGTGAGCATGGCTGGGTCCTATGCTACAAGGGAAGTCGTCTGTGTGCTCTATGCTCTGCATTGCTATGCTGTAGTGAAGCTCGAAGTGACGTGGAACTTCATGAATATTCATGAATTAATGATGGCAGTGTCGCTGGGAGCTGGTCAACCACACAGTGTCCACATGTCGTCCACATAGCGACAGCAAGCATCGAAGGCTTCAAACTCCAAAGTTTCCAAAGTCTGGGTTTGAAGACCGTTCACCCAGAGTGCCCTTGAGTCGGCCGGAAAGTCCGGATCAACATACCTTGGCATTGCCAAGTCTCTGCTGCTTTTGGAGCTGAACGCTGCACATCGCTGCACATCGCCAGTCTCTGCAAGGGCCGCTGCTTCTGGCCTTGAGCACGGCGCTCAGCTGCTTTGGCCTCGCCCCAAAGATCCCAACACAAAGCCCCCCCAGCCCCCCAGAAGGCTCCCCCCTTCGAAGCCACTGCAAGCACCGGCCTCGACATCTCTCCGGCACGCGGAAATACATTGCATCAGCTGTGTGTCGCAGCTCATCGGCTCCTGCCACTCTCAGCCTCATAGTGTCATGCTCCGCTCAGCACTGTCCTGTCCTGGCACACCCCCAAAGCAGGGTGCTGAGCATCTCGCATGCGCACCTGCACAGGCACCCAAGAAAGCTCAGGGAAAACTAGTCACCGTACGCACCGTACATTCGACCATGACTGCCGTCCAAGGCACGGATGGCTGCGAAGGCGTTGCCCCTTCATGAGGAAGCCCACAATGTGCTGAGGGTGCTGACGGCGCTGCAGCTTGCCCAGATGTCGTGGACAGCGTCGGGGTTGCCTGGCGCAGCAGTAGGCAGCGCGCCGAGCTGCAGATCTACCCAGGCCCTCCCACCTGGGGTGTCAAGGGCTCAGTCTGCTGAGGCCTCACCAAGCCAAACAGCCGCCAACCTAGTATACATCCTGACGGTCCTGATCGTGGCTAAAGCCGATCCTGATGTCTGGCGAAGCCGATTTCACTTGTTCTGGCGCATTGAAGGTGAACTGGAAGTTTGCCTAGGACCACACACCACCTGCCGATGTCTTGCACAGATGATATGGAGGCATGCACTCAGCCCGGCACTGGTTGGAACATGGAGGTCTGTGAATGCGAAATTGATGGCACCAAACTCTGTAGATTCATCAGATGCGATGTTGAATGGACTAAGCCAGAAGGGGAGGAAGGAGCTCCATGAGGCACCATCGGCGAGGCAGCTATTGCGTGTGAGAGCGACCTTCACCAATGACAAGCTTAGATGAAATCACGGAAATCAATCAAACGAGTCTCTTCTCAAAGCTTGAGGTTCGCCTGCCAAGCAACATCGGCGGGTGGAAAGGAGACATGTCACCTCCGAAAAACACAGACAGTTGCTGAGCCTCTTTTGATTTGGACTTACTTTTCAAGCGCATGGCAGATCATGGCAAATCAGGGCAGGCCTGGAAGTGAAGGAGGCAAGCCCGCTGCCATCTCAGGCACCGTGCACAGTGTGAGCGCGGCATGCGTTGCCCAATTCTTGCCCGAATGTTGCTGGGGCCGGGGCCGACAGTCCCGGACGGCCTGGATACCTCAGAGAAGCGGGTCCAGCAGCTCCGGTCTGCACTCTCTGCAGCTCTTTGAAACTCTCAACTCGCTGTTTCCGTTGCTGTGGCTGCTATGACTGCGATGAGGCACCCCGGAGTCGAGAGGGTCCTTGGAACCTTTGGCACGGACCTGGCTGCAAGCAAGAGACACGAAGACACAGAAAGAAAAAGATGTCGGAGAGATCAAAATCGACGAAGCAGGTCAGCTAGACCACGGCGAGGGCATTTGCATGGCATCCCCGTCATGAATGCAAGCAAACGACATGCCGGTCAATTCAATGTCATAATGTTGGCGAAAACCCAGGATAGCAGAGCAGTCCATGTAGTCCATGCTCGATCATGCTCGTCTGTCTGAAGTGTCTGGTCAGTGGGTTTGCGGGCTGCATGAGGTCTGGCGTGCGCTACCTGAAATAAGCTGTCGATGCTACTTCACATGCCTCTGCATTCTGCCAAACACATCTGTCAAACACCACACCTCGCTTCAGCTGCAAATGGTTGCAGAGCAAGCCAGCTGCAATTGCTGCAAGCGTGCAAGGTAACAGCTAAGTCGCAAAGAAGTGAATGAAGCATTTAAGCCACGTTTAATGCCTTTGTTGCCGCCTGGATCATGCTCGTGCAGGAGACAACAGAACGAAGGGACACACGTCTTATGTGTCTCGCATCAAACTTCTCCAGACAAGATCAACAGTATTGGAGATGTATGGAGTTAACATGAGTCAACAAGCAACGCAGAATGTTCGAAGTTCGATTGTAAGGAAATCGGCCAAAGCTATTCTCTGGGCCAGAAAAACTTGCTGCGGGCATAGGCCATACTCGTTGTCGTTAAAACTCATCCGCATCTGGAGTGGCAGATGTGGCAGTACTGGCGAAGCTGGAAGGCCTTCAAAAAGGTCATCAGGCGTCTGGGACAGCAAAGCATAGCAAAGCCAGGTTGCTCTGCCTCCGCGATCCGGATCCAGACCTTGCCCGTGCCTGTCAGAGGACCGCAGTGTCAGAGTCTTAGAGGGACGGGGACGGTGGAAGCCTGCGTCAAAGCCAGTGGGCTCTCGCGCACTCGAGGAGAAGCTAGACGCCGGGTCTTGGTCTACGCGAATTGCAAGATGTTGCAAAAATGCCGAAACTCATGAGACAAACAAAAAGAGGGTGCATTCACAGATCTTGGCCCGTGTGCCACGGCGGGAGGCAGCGCAGGACAACCGCTCCGTGGAGTCTGGCAGCAGACGTCGGAACTCGCACAAACATCCACAAACGCATGACGCATGACTTTGGCTCTTTGGAGCCCCTCGCACGGTTCCCACCTCCTTGCGCACCAGTGCCAGTTCATCTCTGAAGCGGAAGCAAGGACCCCTGAGATACATCTGCGCGGATGATGTTGCAGTCGAAGCTACATCGTCTGCACCTGAAGCGCATGTTTGGACACGTGAGACTGCAGCCACGATGCACAGTATTGCTGCACAATGTAAAGGATTTATCAAAGTCCAAGCCGGTCACAGCTGCCCATGGCCTTAATTAATTTAGACTTCACAGCGCTAGTCTCATGCAATAACATTCGTCACCGGTCAAATGAGACCGTTGCAAGCTTTCGTGTGGGTCGCGGTGTGCTGATGGCATAAAGCAGAAACGCAACATCAGGAATTTTGCCCGCACGTCCTGTTCTCGCACTGTTGTGTTTCCACCTTCCGTACTGAGCATCTGGCGATCAACGTCTGCAGCCTCTCCAACTCCTCGCTTTGAGCGGCCGCGCGTTCCTGTAGCCTACGCACATCGCGGTCCTGCAACAAAGCAATGCAGTTGAAGCACAAGAAAGATGTTACCGGTGAATACGGTGATGTCGGTCTGTCTGAAACTGTAGTACGAGGCACAGAAAATCACACAGGCAAAATATGTTCTATGTGTTCAAGGGTCTAGGTGTTCAAGGGTTGCAGGCAAGAGATCAGTACGGGAGGGCTTGGCGTCGGACCTGCAATCCGATGTTTCTCTCGCGGGAATCGGGGCATGGCAAGGCAACCAGAGAGGCAACGGCGGCGGGCCCGAAGCCCGGCAAGCCGTCGGGGTTGTTCGGGGTGTCAGCACAGCGCCAACACACCGGTCAGGTGCTCAACAATGTGTGTAAATAGACGTGATTTGTCGAGTTGAAGCTGCGTGATATATTCAGCTGGTCTGGACTCCCAGAAAAGATCTGCGCTGGCAGACGGCACGACGTTCTCAACGCTCAATCGCACGCAAGTGAGGCTCCAGGCTCACTCATGGGTAGCGAACCAACCCTCGACTTTGAGTGCTTCCTCCCTGGCAGTTGCGGGGCCATCTGCTTTGCACTCACTTGGAATTGGGACCCAGGCGGCCCTGGCAAAATGTTGCAAGGGTGATATCGTCAAGCTTCGCAGGCCTCTGATGCAGCTGGCAACATGTGTTCACACCGAAAAAACCAGCAAAACAAATGCAAATTCATGGCACTCCCTTAAGGACCTCAGCCGAAAGCCCTAGGCGCTGACACCATGTGCTGTCCCTGATATTTACGACGTGTTTAACATGTCCCCTTACCGTCTGCACGAGCAATGGAAAAAAGAAATCCCAAATACCGTCTCCTGAACATGCTTGTGAGCCACTAGAAAAGACTCTTAAGATGTTATACCTATATACATATATATATATGTAATGTATGTACCATCGCACGCTTCATGGACCCGCACACACACACACACATGTCTGTGTGTGTGTGTGTGAGGTCCTGCTCGTAGTGCGCCATGCGAGTTGCTTCCATCTGCAAACGACAGGACTTTGCCTCTTCCTCAGCGGCCAGCTTCTCATCCTTCAGCTTAGATGCTTCTGAGGCCAGCGGAGCCACTCGCTGCTCCGCGGCCTCCCGAGCTGCGTTGGCACGGGCGAGATCCTTCCGCAAGGTGGCATTTTCCTCCAGCAATCCACTAACTTCCGCATTGCTGGTCATCTCACGATCTTGCATCTTGGCAACCTGGTCCTCTAGAAGCAAGGCCTTGTTCGTTGCATGCTGACTTTTCTCACGTTCTGCTTCTAACTGGACATCACCTCGCTCACATCGCGCACGGCTGTCAGAAAGCTGGGCATTCAGTTCCAGGATGTCTGCATCTACCTTTCGACGAAGAGCTGCGTTACCAGCGTTCGTGTTTGCAAGCTCTTGCAACACTTCCTTAAGTTTGATTTCCATTTCGGAACGAGCTGCCTCGGTGAGCTTGAGCTCTGCTGTGAGCTCTTCTGATTGTAACCTCGTCTTGTCATGTGCCTCCTGCACCGCAAGGTTTGCTGCTTCCAGGTCCGTCGTGACTGTCAGGAGTTGCAACTCCAAGGACTTGGCATGGCTCTCCAAGGTCTTCGCCCGTTGCTCCGCCGTGTCCGCTCGTCGCGTGGCGTGATCGGCTCGCCTTTCGGCAGATTCCTTGTCTTGCATCAAGCTCTGTGCTTGTTCCAGTCGTTCCTCGAGGAGTCGCAGACGCTTCTCCTCTGTACGTAGATGAACCACTTCACCCTGCAGCCGTGCAGTCTCAGCCTCTGCTGCGTCACATCTCTCGGCCCTGCGAAGTGCCAAGCTGCTGCTGGCTTGCAGTGCCTGCGCATTTGTACAAGAACAGGTAGGGATCAGCTTAGCAAGCCCTCTGCCTGAATTTCTGCCGTGAGCCGCTGTACCTTCATGCAAGAAATGACCAGTCCCATGTCTTCTACGATTCTACAGATATTCTACTTGATTCTACTTCTGCTTGATCATGCTTGATCTTGCTTGGCAGTCTCAGAGTCTCAACGCGCACGTTGCCATCAGCCGATCGATGCTGAGCCACGGCCTGGCGTTCTGCAAAGTCTCTCGTCTCTCGTCTGGCTGTCCGTCATTGTCCGTCCCCAATCTCTAGGCTTGGTTCCCATTAAATCTAAGAGGGAAGGTATGGGAAAAGGTTGCGAAGAAAGTTTTGCGAAAAACTCTGATATGTAGGAAAAGTTGAAGACAAAATCCTGCGTGCCGATCTTGCTGCTTTAGTTAGATCTGCTCTCGAGTGCGCCAGGCGCCGCCTTCCCTATGCATCCCCGCAAGAGAACAGAAGATTCGAAAGGAATCCACGCCATCAAATGCACTGTCATTGACAGTCACGCGGCCTATTTCCCCCCAGAAGGGGTGGGGGGGCGCGATGAATGTCATGTCGACAGAGAGACGCAAGGATGAAGGATCTCTGAATGGGTTCGCGGCCTCCCCTGATCTGCTGCTGCTCAGCTCTGAAAACTTCAAGGGTCAGCTGTGCGAATCTGTGCAGAACCCAAGGCTTTCTCAGCCTGCCTCCTCCTAATCACTCTCGACCGTGATCACACTGCAGAGGGCTTGAAGCCACAGAGCAGCATTGTCACTGTTGTCACGGTCCGCCTGCCACCTTCAGAATCATTAAGTCGGTTCCCTGGAAGTTGCAGCGTTGGACAATTCGGGCCAGATCTCATCTCTTGGAAAAACATTGCACGGCCAGTCCCGCTTACGAAGGGCAAGCGAAGAGGTTTTCATTGCGGAAGGACGACGGCCCGCTGCTCCGCGTGTCTCGTGTGAAACAGGGTCCCCTTGCTAGGTTTCCTTTGACGTTGGCGGGCTAGTTGCCCCACCTAGTGCTACACTCGGCGGCCCGCGCGGTTGAGTCGCTTCCGGATCTCCCTCACGGTTGAATCGTTTCCGGATCCATTGTTTGGGCTGTATTCAGCATGGTCTGGAAGTCTTGGTCCCCACACGGGAATACGCTTCTCTCTCTCTCTCTTTCTTTCGTTCGTTCTTTCTTGGGAGCATGAGGGCTCCAGGCCCTCGCGCGACACGCGCGCCCCAAAAGTGTGGAGCGACTTCACCGTGCTCTCTCTCGCTCTCTCTCCTGAATTTGCACCCGACAGTGATAACGTAATGGTGTTCCTGCCTCCGTCCTCAACTCTTCCGCCGCCGCAGCACGGGCCTTGCCCCAGACGCACCAAAGAGTCAAAAGTGATGCAAACACATGCAAAAGCACATGTGTCCCTAGCGGCATGTCCTCAGCATTCTTGCACACGGAATTCGCGGTATCGAGCGCATTGCTCAGACGCTGCACCTTCAAGATAACATCAAACTCTGATGACGTCCCTACACAACCTGCAACCCACATGTTTCTCTTCCAAACATGCCAGCTTCGTGAAAGATTGTGCATCAGCAAAGACGTTGCCTTCAAGAGTTGAGTAGCTTCAAAATGCTTCAAAATATCCGTCACTGTCATCCCAATACACATAGTCCTTATCCCATATCCGAAGATAGCTTGCAAACCCAATCTCCCATGTGTTCATGTCACTGGGACACTTGCTTAGGTTGACCGAAACTGAGCGATGTTTCAAGGCGTACGCGGATAGACACAAGCACCCGTCGTCGTCTGTGCGACTGACTGGTGTGTGGCTACGACTTGCAGGCCAGGAAACTGATTTGTGCGACAAGATACCTTAAACTTGAGTTGACTGCATAGAGCAACACCTGCCGCCAAAGGAAAAAACGAGCTGGATGACGAAAAGCATGGCACAAGACCGACCATCCAAAATCCGAAAACATGAGCCTTTCACTTCCTTGTGCCCTCCGGTTAACTGCTCGCGGCACCTCATCCTTTGCTACCGAAGCTTCTGTCCGGCAAGCCTGCACTTCAAAGATCTTCGTAACACGTACCGCAGCAATAGAACATTCACGACAGCAATCACAGCATCTCGCAAGCCTGGATCTCTTGGAGCAAGGACTGCACTTTGGACTCGAGCTCCTGCTCTCATGATCTAAGCAGCTTCTGCACTCTTTCGACTCTTTTCGACATCTCTGCATATCTCTGCAGGCTTCTTGCATCTTCTTGCCCAATGGATCAGTCGAAGGGCATCTCAGGCCTGCTTGCTCGAAGCTTGTACCTGGGCTTTGAAACGAGGTTAGAAGAATTGGACCCTTCCGGCTTGCAGACGCGCGGTATCCGAAATCAACTTGACATCAGCTTGACAAAATCAGCTCTTCTTGGCTTCAGGCCGAGCCAGACTGCGCACGCTCGAGCTCGAGACGCTCTACCTTCTCCAGGCACTTATTTCCCAATGTTAAGCAGTACACAGCAAGACGCGTTGACATCAAGTATGCGCGCATTTGTGTTCAGACAGTTCCTCGGAGACGTTCGGAGACAAGGGCTTCTTCCATTCTCGTGCGACAACGTGCGACATCGTGCGAGCGTGTGCCCGAAGGCCGAGCAGCTCGCACTTGGCAATGAGGCCGCAGCCGCTCTCACCCTAGAGCCTGTGCGATGATGACATGACGCCGAGAAGCTCACAGCAATTCGAGTGCAGCACATGTGCCATTCCGCATATTCTTTGACTGTGGATGGTTCTCTCACTGTTGTTATTATCACCTCTTGGCCTTGTTCTCTTGCCAAATACTGCTGTAGAAGACGAAGAAGACATGGGATCACAATTCTAAAGCTGTCGTCTCGATGTATTTGGAGCAGGCACACTGCCAAACTCGCACATCTCTCGGCACTGAACTCACAATGAATGCCTTCGCAGCAACACAGTTTTATCGACGTGTATCTGCAGGAGCAGGAGAGGGTGCGACTGCCTCTGACTGACTGCGCCGGGCACTGGGCTCGCGCTCCCCTCTCTGTGCTCGGATCCCAAGTGCGAGCTTTGGGGTGCGCTGCCCAATGTCTTTCGCTGCAACATTCTGCAACTTTCTGCAACATTCTCTGACGTTACTCGGCCGCTTCCCGTGGACGTCGGCAACTTTCGGGCTTTGTCGGGAAACTTCCGACAGCAGTTGATCATGAACTTGAAGCTGCACGGTCAATTCGGTGCAAAGAAGGCTGGATGAAAACTAAATGGCTGTTGGTACTCTCGCTTGAGAGCTTGACCTACAACAACGTGGCTAGAAGTGGAGGAGTGCCTCAGCGGAACACCAAGATATTTCAGGGACGATGCTGTAGCGCTGGAGCACTGGCAGAGCGGAGACCTTGTGCTTTCAGAGCACGCCTGGCCTTCATGGCCAGTCCATCACGCTCGGACTGTAGGGCCTCGGCGTCGTCCCGCCGTCCAGCATGGCACAATATGACACAAAATTTGGCATAATATGTCACATGAGTTGTGTTGCGAACCAGATCAAGCAAAGAAGCCTTTGGAATCCAGCTCTATTTGTCCAGGTCCGACACAGTTCGACTGGTGACTTGCACGCTACAGCCGGCCTGAACCTCGCTTCGCAGCTGACCTCTCTCGTCCACAGCACTGCGAAACTGCAGCCTGATCGGATCTGTGCGGGTCGCTGCAAGTAAAAGTGAGAAAAAAAAATGTGCTGAGAAACTCTGCCGTGCGAGAGCACCTCATAAGGCCCCACAGCAGCCGCAGCCCGCAGCCCGATGAAGCTTGGACAGAGATGAACAAAGCTACAGTACGGAGTTCTGATTGCTTGGAGCCACACCTTTGAACTCCAGTCGGTGTCTGTTGGATTCCACCCCGCTTGATGGATCTTGATGTTGTGCTTCAGCGCAAGCAAGCCAAATTCCTGCACGCACACCTAGTATGAGTTGTATGAGATGCATCTCTGATGTCCCTGACTCAACCATGTCAAAAAACAAGCAAGAGCGCAAGTATTGTCAAAGTATGGCGAGACATGCCTAGTTGAATTGCAACGGCAGCCCCTCTCCGCAAAGCAATGCGACAGAGCACATTGGCCACTGTCAAAACCGGAACAGATGAAACATGACGAAACACGAGCTCTGATGCTCTGTCGAAGCTGACAAAACAGCAGTTACAATGTTCAGAATGCACATCTAACTATGTGCAAACATGTGGCATCTACGGCTTAAAGCGAATCAGAGAAGGTGGCAAGCGGGAGTGGTACTTCAAGTAAGCGTACCTCGCTGCAAAACAGCACTGAGATTGCACATCTGCACCTCAAGTCGGGTTGAAGTAGCAAGTTGTGGCAATGCCCCGAAAACACACAAGATGAAGAAATGCACCAGCAGCACTAGTACTAGCAGGGGAAAAAGACCATCCACTGGAACTTATTGGAGTGTAACCCTGCCATCGCCTCAGCGAAGCGGCAAATTACCACCTTCTTTGTTTGTTCTTTTCCCACGTTTGCTCTCTCTGCTGCGCGCTTGATTGGGTGCAGCTTGATGCTTGGCACCGCCCCCCGAGGCCCACTTGTGCACTAAGTGCATAGTGTGAACTGCATTAGAGTACGTGCACATGTGCAAATGTGCACAAAAACAACGACAACACCAGAATATCGCAAGTACAGCGCGCATCTTCTTGCTTCAACACGGCAGCCTGGCAGCTGCTATGGTTATGCCTTTGAAGCACACAGGGGTTCATCAAGCGCATGGGTCCATCGGGCGCAGGATGCAATCATAGATCTCAGACATTCACTCCTTGTCCTATATGTCCTATATGGCACTCCATCCAAGACAGCAAGCAGAGAACCACTACGCGTCAGAATTCAAGGTTCAATGGCAAAGTCCTTCAGACACGTCCCAATGCCCAATAGAAGCCCGGCTGCAAGTGGAGAAATGCGATGGCTTTGCATAAGGCGACGACAAGTCAGAAGTCAGCCTACTTAGAGTGCCCTTAGGTTGTAAGGTCGCACAGAGGGCTACAAAGATGCTCAACATCTGTCGTTCGCCCTCGAAAGAGACTCACCCGGGTCACCAGCAGAAGTATGCTATGGGGGCGGCAAAGAAGTAGGAATCAAAGCGATCCAAAATGCCACCATGCCCGGGAATGAGCGATCCGGTGTCCTCTCAAGGTGAGAGACAGCTTGGATGCTGGTGGTATTTGAGCGTGTCCTTCACTTGAGCATCTCTTTTCATGGCCTCGGCCAGAGGGCCGCACAAGCACACCAAAACCACAGCATCCCTTCCCCTTCCAAAAGACTCCAAGTGCTGTCAGAGCACAGAGACGACCAAGTCCCCCAAAAGGCTCGCACCGAAGATTAGCGCACCGACCAATCTGAGCAAAGAGCTTCTGTCATCCAACCGTTGCTTTACGTTGCCTCGTAGCTTGGGCAAGCACCCGGAAATGAATGGATCGGACGGGAAGCCCCAAGCCTGCACTCAAAGATTCAATGTGTTCTGCTGTGTCTGAATCACCCATGCCTGGTCACAAAGGAGCGCCATAAGAATGGAACCAATCAGGCCGCAGTATGCACCCTGCCAAACAAAATGCAGCACGCACCCAAAACATTCGTCGCAGGACTTGATAGATCCTTTGAATCGTCACGCTTCAATAGCCGAAAGATGCTGAAAGCAAACGCAATGTCGAATTCAGCGCCACTGCCGCTGTTGCTATCACAACTGCAGTCATCAGCTGTTTGACGCCTCCACGGGCGGTATGATATCCACATGTTTTGTGGACTATGGGTCTTTTCTTGCTGAGCGAAAAGATCCTCTGAAACATTCCACAATTTTTGTGGACTGGTAGCAGGCATGAGGCTCAGCGACGAAAACAACGTTTCACAAATTGTTTTAAAAATCGCCTGATAAAAAGTCCTGTGCATTTCTCGAAGCAAGTGCCTAGGAGACATAACACAACGAGCAAACAAGCAAGCAAAAACAGTGCTTACATCTGGTGGATATCATGATCTTGATTTACGAATCTTTATGTCTATATAGATATATACATTTGCCATTGCAGTCTCAACCGGGCAGAAACGATGTCCAGACAAAGCCCACTTCTTCAGCAGGTGTGGACAATTGAAAATGGGAATCTGAGCCTAAAAGTGGCTGCCCCACGGTCGCACTCCACAGTACGAACCACAAAATGACCGCACGTGCTTGCAAAAGCTTGTCACAGAGGTTTTACCTCCGTGCTTTTGCTCCATTTGCTCCTCAGCACTTGGGATGCAGAGCATCTTGGCCTCTTTCTCCAGCTTCTGGAGGTGTAACTCTGCATGCTGCAACCTGCACCAGAAATCAGTGAAATCAGTGAAGTCAGGACGCCTTTTCACAATCTGGCGCATGCTGTCCAGATGTGCGAGTGTAAGCTCCAACTTTTGCAGGTCTGTCTTTGGCGAAATGCACTCCAAGCTTCCATGCTCGTGCTCAACAGGTTCTGACATAGAGCTTATGACCATCTCATCCCTGGTGACTTTCACGCAGCTCCCCAAATACCGTATCTGCCCGAGCAGATCAAGGTAATCTGTGCGAATTGCCCGTGTGTCCTTGCGCATCGCAGCCATGCTATTGCGAATCTCGGTTATGGAAGATATCTCAGTGCCAATTTGACCTCCTGCAGCCTTAAGCAGCCTAGGAAGCTTCTCCAGAGTAATGCAAGCCAGTACTGAAAGCTTCAGATTCACCATCTGCACCGAGTGCACAAATCCGAGGAAGAGCTTCTGGATCGTTTTGGCGACCGTTGGCAAATCTTCGTCGACCTGCCAGAGAAAGGTGGTGACAACCTGGAGGTGACTTAAGAAGATCTGCCTGAAGGCTTCCACATCTTTGACGACGTCCTTGATTTGATAAGTCACAGCCCCCTTTTCCAGGTATCTAGAGCCTGTGGATTGTGACACTGCCTGGTTCACGTAAATAGGGGTCTGTAAACCATCTGGCGGCCTCCAGCTTCCACAGATATCCGCAGCATACGTTGGCGGCATTTGGCTGCAATCACACAAACACACACAAATGATCCGAAATGAACCTGCAGAAGGAGAACCCCAGTATCGCCACCAACTGTCCTGCCTTTTCGCCGCCTCCCTCTCCTACTGCCCTACTACGACCACCGCAACCACCACCCCTACCCTGCTGCCACTACGATGACGACCTTTGACGGCTACTACAATACTACAAAAGCACAGGACGACTACTGCTACTACTTGCATGGTGCAAACTTGTCGCCTCTTGTGTTTTGTTCGGGCTGACCACGATGAGTGGCCGCTTTCCAAAGTGTTTGCCTCGGCCGCAAAGACTCGGATGCAGTGAGGGCAACACAGAAGCTGACGAAAGGAATTGCATCTCAGTCTTGCACCTCCGAAGTACGCGCATGAATCTGCCGCAATGATGCACAGCACGCAGGAGACGGTGACCTTGTTTGCTCCAAGTCTACATCACTTTCTTAGCTTGTAGCTCACAAGGTCCTTTCCACATGGTCCTTTCCACATGGTCCGAAACAAACGGCAAACGCAAGTAAAGGCGATGTTGGCTTCTTTTAAGCCTATCAAGACACTTTGTCTTGACTGACAAGGGGCACAGCAGCCAACGCTTCGCTCAAGAGGCCATCGGATCAGGCGGACGAAATCCGTGAGAATGCCTGCCGCAGTAGATACATATTGGTACACAAGCCTGTCTGCTAGGCATGTTCAGCTCCATAAGGCCAAAGAGCCAACCTCTTTTGGATACACCTCGCCGGCTCGCAAAACTCATCTCCCTTATGAGTTTTGCCGTACATAACTGCCCTGTGCTTCGATCTCCGCTAGATCGATGTGAGCATGGTGAAAAGGTGGGTACATGGCATCATCGTAATTTATGCCCTCATACTTGTCTAAAGCTTTGAGGTCAATGCGGGTTACTTGCTGTCCCATCATCCTTATGGATGAGACACGCTCCACCGCAAACAAAGCGTAAGCACAAAACATGGTTTCATTCTCTTCTGGACAAGAAGAAAAAGCTGAAATGTCACGCGCGCCCCAGAAGCCCTGGGGAACTCGCACGACCAACAAGGCTGGACCGACCTTGTCAGTCAAGCGCGACTTTGCAAACTTCAGCTCTGTTGTAGTAGAGAGAAATCGCGGCATGCGCAACTTCGCACCTTCTCTGACCAAACGACTGGACTCGCCAATGCCGACACCGCTGTAGAAAACCCCACCCTCATGACGCACAGAGTTGATGAAGTAGTTCATGTCCATGATGATTGGCATGACGGCTTTCAGGACATTTGGAGCATCTTGGCAGATTGCACAGTTCAAAGCTCTGTGGAAAGGTTTGCGCTCGAAAAAATGGATGGGCCGCTTGCCCGTCCATTCAGAAAAGTTTGTGTTTATGAAATCATGATAATCCAATCCGGGGATATCCTCTGGGAACTGGAAAGGTCGAAAGAGGACTTGCTTGGAATTGCTTTCCTCGTCAGTGGATGCAATAGCCGTAGGCCGTCCAACCTGCCCAAGCTTGAACCCTTCGGGTGGTGCAACATCATGTGGATAAACAGTGTGTCCATCTGCTTCCATCGCACAGGCACGAAAAACTCTGCGAACAGCCACCATGGTCCCGCTGGTGTACATCTTGATCGTGGCCTGAGCAAAACGGCAAGAAGTAAAACATGTAAAACTCCACAGCTGGGTTTTAATTCCACGTCCCGACCTCGGGATCCACGCCAACACTGAAGTGATCCACCAGATCATCATGCCATTGAGGCATCATCTCCTGGCCAGGACTATGCTTGTTTCGCTTCGCAACAGAACCGCCAGCAGTTTTTGGTCTCAAGCACGTGAATCCTCCAGTGCCAGGTGCCCGGATCCTTCTACTTGTCTGTCTATCGTGACCTCATAATCCTTGCGACACGTCCAGTAGTGTTGCACGAAAGCGTTCACCGCACATGCAAAAGAGGCCGCCAGTTCTTTGCCATCGACTGGTCGCGGTTCTCCAGTTCCCTGCGCAAACTCGACAGAAACAGATAAAAACAGCTATCATTTTGGATCGTTTTGGAATGGATTTTCCGTTACAAAAGCACTGCTTCCGAAGCTTTCCCTTCAAGAATGCCCCCCAGTCATCCCCCCACAGCTACCTGATTTCGGGGATCTATCCGTGTTCAGGAGTAGCTCCGGATACTTCGCACCAGAAGCCTTTCTGTCAAAAAGAGGGCACTACTCCCCGCTTGGCGGGGGACTCTGGTTGTACACTCCGCGAGCTCTCTCTAAGGGGGGGGGGGGGACTTTTGCTTGCCCAAACAAAGAAAAAAGAGGCGTTCTGGGAGGTCCTCAAAAAAACGAGGGAAGCGGAAGCCGGCACCACGGAAAACAGGTGCCACCAAGAGAGGGAGCAGCAAAATCACGCAGCAAGTGAGGTGCAAGCTGAACCACAATCTGAACTTCAGGCCCGAGCCATAGCGAGTGCCCAAGCACACCAACTTCAGCAGGAGGAGGTTTTGAGGCTTCAGGCCAAGTTGTTTCCAAAACTGATGTGGAGGCCCAACGTGGAATCCCTGAAGCCGTTGCCGAAGCAAAGCAGCCAGAAGCCGTTCTCATATGACAGAGGGCCGAAGCGAGAAGGGTTGACGCGGAACAGCGCAATGCAGAACTGCATCGTGAGGTGGAAACACGCACCGAGCTTTCCGACGTTTGTGCTGAAACCGTCGAGTAGCAATGCCCATTCATGAACAGGCTCCGACGGCTTCCCTGGCGCCTGCATGATCAGAGCTTCAGATTCCGAGCGCGTCGGAAAATGTTGGGCACCATCCGCGCAGTTGCAGTCTCAGATTCAGGACCCATGAGTGACGTAGACCCGGACAACACTTCCCCCCCACCCCCACCTAAACCCAGAACGCTCACGCAAAGCCTAAGCCCTACAGTACCCTAAACCCTAAACCACAAAGAAATCCCTAAACCCTAAACGCCCTAAACCCAAACCCCAAACCCTAGAACCCTAAATCCTGAACCCCGCCCCGCCCAACCCCAACCACAGCGGGGGGGGTTTACCACGCCATGGGGGCTGGGAGGGGGGACTACCCGACGCTGGACCATGGCTTCAAAATGCTCAAAGGTGACATATGTTTGCGTATCCCACAAGCAACACAGGGAGCGATTACCCACAAGCAGAGCGACTTTCCCACCTTGAATGAAACCACACCGTACATATTTGTGAGAAAACTTTACAGCATTCTTCGACTTGATTATTCCAAGTGCGGACACTGTAACAGTGTACACAGACATGTTCAGCCCGCAAATTCCAGTTTTCCAAAGACAAGGGTCACGCCTTGTAAACATGCTGGAAGTTGCTGGTTTCAAGAAACTCGGGCACGACGAAAGGAGACTCGCCATTGCGGTCTGCAAACTCATCCTGCGTGGGCTCCCACCAGACGGCCATGAGGTTCAAGCGACCATATGCAAGCTAAAATACAACTTGCTGCGAGTCAAACCATCAGCACATGTCGGCACTGCCTACAGGCCTATGGAGAGCAGTTGATTTACATCACATGTCGCTACTGGAGAGCGATCCACGAGAGCCAAGCTCCTCACAATCAAGCCAAGCCAACAAAGAACAACTTTTTGAAGTCAGCAACTTCAGGCCCGCTCTTTTCGCCATTTTTCAACGGTGACGGTGACGTGCAAGCTGCATCTGCCGGCAAGTCTGCAAAGCACTGCCAAGCACTCTCATGAAGGTCGCGGCGTCCATCTGAATTTCTTACTGCAGATGATTGGTGATGATCGGCCTGACAATGGCCCATCCAGCAATTGCGGACTCTATTCTCAAAGAGAGGGCCCATCTTTCACGATGTGGCCGGGCCCATCTTTCACGATGTGGCCCACCTTGGTGATTCTTTCATACTCCTTCCAAGGTTCCTGACTGCCTGCAGGTTTTGCTTGTTCTTCAGAACCACGATCCTGCACCGCTGCATGAACAAGCAAAGCGATGGCGAATCGCAGGAGCCACCAGCCTCTGTACTTGCCAGGTTTCGTTGCTATGTCCATTACGGCCTGGAAATCTTAAACGAAGCTTCGTTTCATCGTCGGATCCATTCATGTCCATTCCCCTTCTTGACGCTTGCTCTCGTCTTGCTCTCGTCTCAATTTGGTTCCGTGGGGGGTTTTCGTGCCGTGAAGACTCTGAGATGCTCTGAGATGCACTGAGATTCTGGAAGCCGTGGGCAGTGCCGTGGCTCCCTCCATGTCCCCTCCATGTCCTCTTCTTTCCTCCGTCAAATCGAAGCTGGATTGAGATTTTCTACTTGTTCGGACTGTTTGACCTACCAGCAATGCTTCTCGCACGGTGGCCAGACACAAGAAGATGAAGTATGTGATACACAGCTGATACATGACAAAAAAGACATTTTGACGAGAGGGAGCATTTGTTCCCGTCGCAGTGATGATGGCTCGTCCATTGGTCAAGAAAACATCATGTAAAACAAGGCTGCCAACCGTAGAAGCGCAGTCTTGGGTTGTCAACGCTTACTTCTTCGGTGCCGAGCCCTCAAAGTTGGAGCTTCACAACACCTCAGCAACCCTGTTGCGGTAGGTGGCTGGTAAGCGAGTTGCTCTGAAGGACCCAGTGCATGCCGAGCGGCAGAGGACAGCAGGGGCTCAGGCTCAGGGAATAAAATTTTGCTGTTGGGGCCAGAGCCAAACAACTAGGATGCTTCCACCAGCAACAAATGTCAAGCTGCCTGCGCTGCTGTAGACAACGCAAAACAATAGCATAATGAAAGGAATGAAAGTGACACCAGACTTGCACCTGTTGGTGCACCGCTTGGCAGGGCCGGGCCAATGGCACGCAATCGGACCTGCCATGTGAAACACTGTGCTGGGAAGAAGCTATTGAACATGCAATTGAGCATGGATACATCAAGAGCCACAAAGCGAAAATCTTTGCCGGCGCAACAATCGACTGTACACTGTAGAGCTTGCGCACCGGGCTAGTCTATTGGATTTTGTTCGTCTGTACAGGTGCATCCACAGGATGACTCTCGCCATGTTGTTGGAAGGCATAAAATTTGACAAAGACTTGAGCACATCTGCGCTCCTTGCGCTTGAACAAAGGTCGTCCAGTCACGTGCGTGGCATGCCAAAATGGGCGTACCGGACCAAATGTAGAGACGACACCAAAACCATGGTCTCGAGCAATGCTTTCCACGTTCCACTGCCGATACTGATAATCTTCGTCAGTAGTTGCATGACGCTTTGTCGCACTGCAGCTCTTCAAACCCAGAACTACCACACCGTTCCGTGCAAACGACGGCCACTGCAAAACCGAATCAAAAAACTGTCCGATCAAAGAACTTTTGATCTGGACATCGCTGGCATTCGACTCTGGGAATGGATACGTCCAAATTATGCTGGTGCACTCCCCACTCCAGCATTGCGCAGTTTCTGTCAATCTCGTTGCATCGACGTTGAAACCATGCGCAACTCCGTTCGCTTCGAAAGCTGCCAAGTTGTCCAAGATAGAACTGTTGTTGGGCTCGTATCGTGCCATGGCCTCCTCTCGGCTCAAGAGGATTGTTGCGCAGAACCTGCCGATGTAGTTGTATGACTCCTTGGCACAATGTCACAGCTAGGGCCCCAATAGGGGCTCAGTTTCACGGCTCAGTTTCACACAACTTCGAGGCCCCATGCATCTCGAAACACATCATGCCGGCGTAGACGCAATGTCACATACTCCTAGACTCCAACTTCACTTCCAAGCGACATCAAATTACATCACTACAAAGCCACCCGAGAGCACCTGAAGGGGCCAGACGCGACGACAAGCATGTGCCGACAATGCGCATGGGACATTTGCAACACCACGAAATGCAAATCCCCATAGACTAGAGTGACTAGACGCACGAAGCAACAACTCCAAACGCAGATAAGGACACACCTGCCACGTTCTCGCGACAGAGAACGGAGCAAGCCTCGTAACGTGCTCTGGACCTGGCGGGAGCACGATTTCAGCACGGAACATGCACGGGACCATGGGACCCGAGTTGGCACCCTCCGTGAGGCCCAACGCATGCTGCGTTTAATGATAAGCATTTCGGGAGCGGCCAAGGACTCCGGGCCTAAGCCCGTGTGTAGGTGAAACCGCCTTTTAAGTAATGTCCAACATACGAGCAAACCTCGAGGCCGAGTCTACGTCCCGGGAGGGTGTGACGTGGTCACGGCAACTAACAAGGGTCTGACGAGGGCATCACGGTGTGTACAGAATGTCGCAATCTCCAGCAATAGCACATATTGTGTAAACAGGGTGACATTCTCGATGGGTTGCAATCTGGCAGCCGCATTCAGTGGGATTTTCGTGAGCGACGATCTGTCGAGCGATGTGGCCGTGGACGATTCATCCCTCCTCCGCCTTGGCACCGGCCAGCAACATGCTACGTGGACGTTACTGCAGTGATTTGCTCACGGGTGCTGACGGCCATTGTTGAATGCGGAGCAATCATGCCCGCAATGTACAGGTCTTCTTCTACGTAATCGCGCCTTCACCATGCCTTCATTTCCTGGTCCTCCGTTCTCTACTGAAGGCAGAGTTACCTCTCCTTCATTCTCCTTACAACACGGCAACGAAATTTATCCAGACCTTTAACTCCTAAAGTCTCGTTTGATCTCAAACTCGCTTGAAGACTGCAGCCTTGGGCCTTGAAGGTCTAAGCTTCGTTTTTATGTGGAGCCGTACCAGAAAAACCCAGACATTGCAAAAAGGCTTGCGGGCATGGGCTGCGGCAGTTTGGCGTCCTCCGTAATTTGATAGCTATGGACCAGGGGCTGCAATAAAAGAAGTGGCATACGGAATCCTTGCTTTGGGCCTGGACTCACTCTTGACTCTCACTCCAGACTCACAAGCCTGAAGTTTGAGCCATGACGCCTTGAAGCCTCAAACTTCTTCCGGTCAGCGGCGCGCAGGCGCTTTGGGCCACAATGGCGCCTTCTTTGGCCTTAAGGGCCCTTTTTTTGGGTCAACTCACTGGGAGCGGGCCTTCAAGCGCAAATGATTTTTTTCCTACTTTGTGAGTGTTTTGGGGTTCTAGTCCTAGTGCTTAAGGATGTTTAGGGTTTCGGGTCCCGGGCTTTTTGGAGAGCGTGCCCGGACCCCATCATAAGCCAAGACAAAATCAGTCTGCGACAGTCTGTGTCATTCCCACCACGCGGCAAAATGCAGGGAGCAAGACGGCGCCACACGCACAGAGCGCGATTCGAACTCAGTGAAGCTTGTTCTCAATCTGGCGCGTGCTTTGAGACATGCAAAACGTGGCCCAGTAACGCCGCGAACATAATCAGTTTCAAGGAGAAGACAAAGACAGGGCAAGAAGAGGAAAAGAAGAGTAAGGAAACAGGAAATACAGAGGGAAAGACAGGAGAAATGCAACTGCCAAACCCTACGCAGCGCTTTCCGTAAACACCTACAATGTGAAAAAGCACCTGAAGAATGAACATGCATGTACAGCAGTAGAGACGGACATCAACACAGAAGCTCATGTGATCTCATGTGTTTCCAGAAAGCTTCTTGCACCATCCAGGCCGTAATTTCGCTGGAAAAGGCAAAGTCGCCGTCTCCAACAACCACGACTTTCCTCTCAGCAATATATGACTTGCAAAAGGCGGCCTTCACTTCCCAGATCACAATACGGGGAGCACGCAGCTCTGAAAGTCGACATCTCTTTGCAGCCCGCCATGGCTTCTGCACTTCGTTTCATAGCGGAGGCTGCAATGACTCAGAGGACTTGAGCAGGGAAATGGCCTACAGTGACAAGCTTACGCACTGCTTGCGCCCTCCTGCGCCGCTATTGTTTAAACTTGGCAGGTTGCGGCCTTCGAGATGCACTAAACAGACTAAACATGTTGGCAGCACCCAAAAAGATGGCAAGTAGCCGACGTAGAATACCCCGAAAACTTGGGAGGCAACGTGAGAGAACCTCAGAGAAGGACTCATTTGGACAAACGAAACGTAATACTGCACGTCATGCTCGCTGCTGGGCTCCCTACGAGATTGGTGAGGAACCATCCGGCATCGAGACGTTGCCTTCACTCAACAACGGAACATGTTGCATGGCAAGTTTGGCACTGCAATGCTCTGCATGAAACGCGTCTTTCCTTTGAACCAGCCTTGCAGCAGCAGCATCAGAACCAAGAGAGTGACCTCGATGAACAGGTGCCCGCCCCGTGTGCATGTGGCAATCCACGCTGAGCGTCTCTGCTGCGGCACATTCGAAGATGCCAGTAAGCACCTGAGCAAATCGAATGCTGCAAAGGGAACACACATGACAAGATGACAAGCGCAGGAAGCGCTACTTAGCCGCTACTTGCCAAATGATCAGCCAAAGAGCTCTGCAGTGAGCAGCAAGCAGGATGGACGCGCTCACGCCAAATAATGCCCACCGCTGGGCCCTGGGTTGTAAAGTCCGGAGCAGTCTGCCTACCATTGCATACCGGGCCCTCACAACCGTTGCCACAACCCGTGCAACCCACCTCACAGGTGGAGGTTCCAGGACGCAGGCAATCAGTCGTGAATACCTCTACGTCTCCACTGCGCGGCAGAACAGAGCATTGTCCAGCTGTAATGTCGGCGCACTCAATGGAGATCAGATAGACAACCTTGGGAAGGTTCACTGATGTGGATTAGACTGTTAGGCACACGCAGTCGAGGGGCACAGGTGTATGCAATCAGGAAGGGCCAGCCCCCTGCACAGTTCGAGTCAAGATCAGGGCAACTGACATACCTGCGGATTCATGGCCTGCGAAGGTCGCGGGGCCCATGATCTCGCCAAGGACAATGCCGGCAAGAACCCTCACTGCGTACTTTGGAAGCCTGAGCATGAGCCAAACATGAGACGCAAGATGACGCAAGGGTTGCAACACCGTCGAACACCGTCGAATACCTTCGAACACCTTCGAACACACCAGTACACTCGCCTTTGCTTCCTTTCCGAAGCACCTGATGCGAAGGACACAGTTGGATTCCTGCTCCGTGCAAGTACCAAGTACAGGACCTACATCATTTTCCGGCATCCTGACCAGCACGATATGCGAGGAAAACCGTTAAAGCCCAAGCTGCAAAAATGACCTAGCAGTTCACGCATGGCTCAGATGATGTTGAGGGATCCCAGAATGTAGAAGGTCAGGTAGATGGTCACGGGGGTGGCAAAGATCAGAATCAGCAGCGGAGGGTTGGGCCGCAGCGGAGACAGCTCATCCTCGTCCAGCTCATCTGCAGGGGAGATGATCACACGCTTCTTCTTGCCGGAATCATCGGTGCTGGTCGTCACCTTCTTCGCCTCCTTCTTCAGTGCGGTCGTTCGCTTGGCCTTGCGGGAGGATGTGTTGAGGCCTGCGTTCTTGCTCGCTGTGCCGATCTGTGACAGATCCACAGATTCCTCTTCGGCACGGACTGGGGCCACTCCCACCATCAAGCCAACCACCGCTGCCAGAAGCACTGCCTGCACGCCGGAAGTCAGGCTGCTTGGCGCATCGACCTCTCCCGCCATCTGCTGCGCGCCGGGGAATGGAGCATAGCCAGCGTGCGAGGAGCCCTCCAAGCCCCGCAGCCCCTTGGTTCCGCTAGACGGGACGAATGCAGTGCCAGCCGCCCAAAGGCAAAGGCCTGCAAGTGCCGCGATGGCCACACGACCGCTCGAGGAGGACACACGTGCCATTGTAGGTGCTTGAAACAGATTAGCACCACAGCTGACTACCTACCTTCCATCCAAACGCTGAAGCGGCACTTCACGGTTACAACATGCAAGCCATGAATACTGGTCGGGTTTGCGCCTACATATTGAGAATGGAAACATGTCATGGCTCTCACAGCACGTGCGAGAAGGGTGAACAATGCCAGACAACTGCAGTGCCAGTTCTGGGGATCATTATCGAAAGGGCTGAGACAACAGAAAGAGCAGGCTGGGCAAAGCATTTCCGCAGCCGCAGCACTCTTCAGGGTTCTTCCAGGAGAACTTCGCTTCACAGCCAGACAACATACATATCCTCACAGCTAGCTGAGTCAGGGAAACTTCATAATGCCACAATCTCGATCATGGCTCAGATGATATTGAGGGATCCCAGAATGTAGAAGGTCAGGTAGATGGTCACGGGGGTGGCAAAGATCAGAATCAGCAGCGGAGGGTTGGGCCGCAGTGGAGACAGCTCATCCTCGTCCAGCTCATCTGCAGGGGAGATGATCACACGCTTCTTCTTGCCGGAATCATCGGTGCTGGTCGTCACCTTCTTCGCCTCCTTCTTCAGTGCGGTCGTTCGCTTGGCCTTGCGGGAGGATGTGTTGAGGCCTGCGTTCTTGCTCGCTGTGCCGATCTGTGACAGATCCACAGATTCCTCTTCGGCACGGACTGGGGCCACTCCCACCATCAAGCCAACCACCGCTGCCAGAAGCACTGCCTGCACGCCGGAAGTCAGGCTGCTTGGCGCATCGACCTCTCCCGCCATCTGCTGCGCGCCGGGGAATGGAGCATAGCCAGCGTGCGAGGAGCCCTCCAAGCCCCGCAGCCCCTTGGTTCCGCTAGACGGGACGAATGCAGTGCCAGCCGCCCAAAGGCAAAGGCCTGCAAGTGCCGCGATGGCCACACGACCGCTCGAGGAGGACACACGTGCCATTGCGAAGAGCGACTTGTGTGAAGTGCGGAGCGAGGACTACCCTATTTAATATGACCTCAAAGCAGCGAACAAGCTGGCAATAGTCCATCAATGTGGCACAAGCTGACACAAACACTACTTGCGGGGTCTTTAGCGCGCTTTCAGTTTCCATCTGGCAAGTACATCGGATTTGGAAAGGTTTAGTGGTTTTCCAGCGTTCACAGTGGTAAGCTTACAGCCGAGGGAGCATGTGCTTGTTTTCGGCTCTCCGACCGCCTTCTGCAGTTGAAAACTCTGCTTGCAAGCAGCTCAGATGATATTGAGGGATCCCAGAATGTAGAAGGTCAGGTAGATGGTCACGGGGGTGGCAAAGATCAGAATCAGCAGCGGAGGGTTGGGCCGCAGCGGAGACAGCTCATCCTCGTCCAGCTCATCTGCAGGGGAGATGATCACACGCTTCTTCTTGCCGGAATCATCGGTGCTGGTCGTCACCTTCTTCGCCTCCTTCTTCAGTGCGGTCGTTCGCTTGGCCTTGCGGGAGGATGTGTTGAGGCCTGCGTTCTTGCTCGCTGTGCCGATCTGTGACAGATCCACAGATTCCTCTTCGGCACGGACTGGGGCCACTCCCACCATCAAGCCAACCACCGCTGCCAGAAGCACTGCCTGCACGCCCGAAGTCAGGCTGCTTGGCGCATCGACCTCTCCCGCAATCTGCTGCGCGCCGGGGAATGGAGCATAGCCAGCGTGCGAGGAGCCCTCCAAGCCCCGCAGCCCCTTGGTTCCGCTAGACGGGACGAACGCAGTGCCAGCCGCCCAAAGGCAAAGGCCTGCAAGTGCCGCGATGGCCACACGACCGCTCGAGGAGGACACACGTGCCATTGTGAAGGGCTAGCGGCTAGCTGGCAGCGCAGACACTCGCAAGCTGAAGAAAAGCTGCAGATGCAGGGACTAACGTCAAAAGTACCATATGAGTATGACGCATGCACACATTTGCATCACAACATGCCTGTGTGATGCATGGCACCTCCTTCTCCTCCTGCACAGCTCACATGCCTTGCTCGACGTCCTTGCACGCATGCTTCTGGAAGTATCTTTCCTCTATGCTTCCGAATCCAGGAACCGCACTACCAGTGAGTGCCAACAACAAGGCAAAGCCACCTCACCGAATTTGCGGGTGACCGTTGAACTTTGAACATGGGGCGGGCAACTGGGCACTGGCACCCAGTCTTGAGGTCGGCGAAGGAACATCAGAGAATGAGATGGCATGTCCGATCCTGCAGAAAGAAGCGGAGGAGAGGAGGATAGAGGAGAGAGCGAGAGGAGAGAGCGAGAGCGAGAGGAGAGAGCGAGAGGAGAGAGCGAGAGGAGAGAGCGAGAAGAGAGAGTTAGAGGAGAGCGCGAGAGGAGAGAGCGAGGGGAGAGAGAGGAGAGAACGGACAAGAAAGCACATGTCACACACGGGATGATATAAGGAACGAAACAGCGAATGATGAGAGAGCTAAAAGAAAGTCGCACAGTTTCCCCCCCGTCTCTGAGTTCTCTCTCCTGGAAGGAACGTGAGGGAAGCCGAGGTGGTGGCGATGGTGGCGAAAGCCAAAACCAACTCCTCGGAGCACAAATGGGCAAACAAGTTCGAAGGAGAGAGAAAAGCGTGAAGCCCGCAGAGAGAGTGTCTTTCTCAAAAAACACTGTGCTCAGTACTCTTCCTCCCGCCTCCTCTTCTTCTCAGATTCTTCTTCTTGAAATTTGCTCTTGGGCTCCCCGCTTGGCGAGGCTACTCCGTATCGAAGCCGTTGCTGGCATCCGAGCATCTATAGGTTGTGAACACTCTGGGCAGATGGATAAACAGCCGAAACTGCGATTTAGTTTGCATCTTGGTCGGCTTATTTCTGGATACGTTCCATCTTTCCTGGCACCGTCAGTTTTGCTTGAACTCAGGCCACTCAGCTTCCCAGGACAGCAAGTGCCCAACCCGCAAGGTCTTGGCAAGTGCTACCCAGAAGCATACCACACCATAGCATGTTGCACGGTTGCACGGCATTGTTGCGCAGAAGCCCAGAGTCACACGGTCTAATTAATTTTGCAGCTAGGAGCTGCAGAACTGCAGTAGCCCTACCTACACCACAATATAGATATCAGGCTGTCTGCCACAGCCCCGGGCAGGCAAGGGATTCATGCTCCGTTCACAGACACGCTACTTAAGACTCGTCTTCACAGATGCTGCGGTGCTGCTAGAAAATGTGCAGCTTTTGCGAGCGAGCTTGCTCTTGCCGTGCTCTTGCCTGCTTCCAATGTCTACTGTGAAACGCTACAAAGATACAAGTGCATTGACTGATTCAGAGGCAATGCTCGAGGACTACCGCGGAACAACTGCCAGCAGCTTAGCTGGAATGGTCGGACTCATGTTCCTGTGACAGACACCATGCAACTGCATTGAGAATCTTCCATAGGATACGAATGCCAAGGCTACAAGTCCTCAAAGTAAAGGCTGCGCCCACTGGGACGAGGACCTCCCACTCAAACACAGATATCGACCAGACCGTATGCCCCTACAACTTCCTCTAGACTCTGCCTACATGCGAGACAGCCAGTCCATGTTCGGTGAAGCCCGAACTGCGCCTCTCCACCTCGAGACAACGTCTGCTTGAAGCCCGTTTCAGGCAGATGAAACTCGACCTGCGACGCAGGATATCAAATGAAATCCAACTGACATGCAAATCACGGCGTCGTGCCATCAAGACAGTAATTGACATCTTTTGCATCGCTTCATGCTTCGCCGCATTCGCCACTTTGCCTGGCCATCCTCTGCTTCGGTGACGAAGTACAGCATCTCCAGATCTAAGCAAGAGCAAGCAAGGTGCCGACGACGCTAAAGCACTGGCAGGCCATTGCATCGTCAGGGCTACAGATGATCACTTGGCCTGTCTCATTCCTTTCAGACATCTCCTGAGATGCACGGTCTGTATAGTGCTGCAACTCCTATAGGGTGCAAAACATTTAAGAAATTCTGAAATTCTTCCAAGTAGCAGATCCCCCAGCTTCTAACTGTAGCATTGCTGCATCAAAGGACGACTCATGGAACAGAATCGCGACTCGAGTTCCTTCTCCTTTCTTCGGAGTTTTGAAGCTCACAGGGGGACAACTGGAAACAAGCTGCGCAGCTCCGCGGTCCTATGATGCTGCCATCCTCCTGCAGCTCGGCGTCTGCCTCTGGAGCGGCCACCACGTACCGCCTCAGAATGCTATCTTCCTAATCTCCCTATGTCCGTGTCTCCCTACCACTCTATCCCACTCTATCTCCGGATCTGTGTCTTTCTCTCTTGCTCTGCTTGTCTCTGTTGGTCCATCTGTCGGTCTACCTGAGTCCAGTTGCATGGCTGCTGGTCTGTGTCTACTGTCCCTTTCTCCTCGCCAGCAACCTCTTCTGGACAGTCTTGGATCGGTTAAACCCAGCAGTCACAAAAATGCTGCTTGCACAGCACTTGCTCAAAATCTGGGGCTCAAGCCCTGCTGCAGCATGTCCTGACATCTCCGACAAGTGCTTCAACATCGACATTGATTTTCCAGTTGCATACTGAATTTTGTGTCAGCTGTCACCCAGCTTCTCCACACCTGCTTGTTGGGCAGGTGTAGGTGATGCCATGGATTCATCATCTGCCTTGTCACAAATAACCCAATTCGTACGCGTGCCTGCTCGCAACAAAACGGCCTAGTAGTCTGCTGCATAATCAGACCACTGACCGGACTCCCAACACAAACTGCCACAGCCATGCCTCTAATGCGTGCCCAGGCCCACTTCGCGACTTTCTGCTGCGGCCTTCAACGTGGCAAAACTATGTTGCCTTCTGTTGGAATTCTAATCGCGCCTGTTGGGGTAACGGGAACAGCAATACTTGGTCGCTTTCGAGGCGGCATGGCAGGAACATCCCAGATTTAGAACATCGAGTAATTGGTCCCTGCATGTCATGTCGGCTGCATCTTGGCCAGGTTTGCAATATAGCTTACATTCTCACTTGAAAAATTTGATTCTCGGTGCGTTTGGAGCTTCCTGTGCAGCATGAGCCAGTTGCTGGATTCGAAAGTTAACATGTCTTCTACCCGATTCTTGGCAGCCAACGCAACATCACGCAACACAACAAGCTGCATGCAAAACTGCAAAACGCGTCACCGCTGCATCATGCCATCCCCGCTCAAAAGCGCCAGCCTCCGAAGCCTGCATGTTGCCTGCAAACATCCAACTTGTGCGTCAGCATTCTACCTTCAAAAATCCAACTGCTGGGTGCCGGTAAGGCCAGGAAATCGTGTCAAAGACTGATAATGATGTTTCCTGCGTACTTCAACGTTTGCAGTGGTTTCGCACAATCACAGGCGACGAACGTTGTAAATTACAGTGTCTTTGCCTGCTCTTCAGGCTTTTGTGGTCCTGAGTACACCACGCCTTGTTGATGTATTTCATATGTATTTCTGGCATCGTGGTTGTTGCGATTTCATTGGAATTGTCAGCGCTTGTAGCCGAAAAAAAGTGTTGCATATTGGACTCGTGCGAGACGCTGGTTCTTGGCACCAGGCAAACTTTGACAACTTCATCTGGAACTGCCTGAAAGTTCCGAAGTTGGCAGGTACCGCCTAGCATATCTGCAAGCAAAACAGCTAAATGAACTTGAATGACCACTTTGACGGAGCAAGGAATGTTGTTGTGATTTACGACGTGCTGCTACTGAATGCTGCATTTGCTTTTGAAATTGCAACGGACGTAGGAGATGGACTTGTTGTCGCTGATCCCTGAATTGCTCATGTCAAGGGGAAAATTCTCTGACTTTCTCCAGGCCCGTTGAAGAATCCTGATATCATGCCTGAGTCGGAGAGCAATGTCAGTGACAATCCCTTCTTTTTTCCCGGTTGCAGGCCAACATAGGCCAACGCTACTTCGAGTAAAAGACCATGTAAGGTGAGGTGTCGTTAAAAACTTGACCATGAACATTTAACACGCACATCGTAGTACTCACAAGATGGGACGAACCTGTAGTATCTGTTCCGTGGCTTTTGGAGCCACGGCGTTTGCAGCACCACATCATAAAGGGGGTCGATACGGCCAAAGAGTGGGACCATCCTGCACCGTACCATGCCTTGCTTTCGGAAAAATGATCGCATTCACGTTCGAACCCAAGAATGAACGACAGTGTTTTAACTTCATTGTCATTGGTCCGCACGTGAAAACACCTGCTACTTCACATTCAGCAGCGATACCTCTGGGTGCATCGATGCCCACGTTCTGCAGTATAGGTCTTCACATGCAACTTGGAGGCTGGCTTCCGAAAAAACGCTGGGTGAGTCAATGTTCCAACTTTAAGGATCTAACTTGTTTGAAACATGCCAGATACTCCATGTTCAGTCATGCGAAGACATGCGTTGGATGCATGAATTGGCTCAAGAACAAAAGAGTGTGAGCGCAAGGGGTCCCTTTAAGCTTTGAGTTCTCCTTGGAGTTTCGAGGGACTTGACATTGCTCTTCAGAGCTGATCAACAAGTGAGCAGCAGCAGCAGCAGCAGCAGCAGCAGCAGCAGCAGCAGCAGCAGCAGCAGCTTGCACATTCAGACATACTTGCAACTTCATTGCATCAAGGAGCATCAAGAAGACCTTGTCGTTGCTGCATTTGTGTGCTGGCAGAAGCTGGCTGTTTTGGCGAGAGTTTCAGAGGACGACATTTGGGATTTGTTTGGAAAGAAGGCTGCAGCAACAACAGCAGCTGCAGCAGCAACATTCACTGCACGTGGGCATTGGCATTTCCATTCAACATCTCATTATCTCGACTCCATCATACAAACTTCATCTCGTTCTCGAAGTGGGACAAGACACGAAGGGTTGGGTTAACCTTAATCCCATCCTACTTGCTTGTCATCTGTTGTAGCCCAACACCATACTGTACAGGGCTTCAGGGCACCGGCCCCAGCGTAGGACCCTGTGTGGGATTGGTTGTGTGGTTTCCTCTGTTCCCTAATTAGGTTCAGGGTGGGCAAGAGGTCTCGTCAGGACTTGAAAGCCTCTGGGGGCCATGAACATTGATGAGGAGGGACTTCCATCTCCTTCGACCCCTAGAATCAGAGCCATCACATATCTCGATCATTTCAGTCCTGTGACCGATCATTTCAGTCCTCTGACCGACACCACAGGAAGTCCAGAGCCACTCCACATCCAGCACATCCTACAACACCAGCAGCACTCACGCCCTTCCCGGGCCCTAACCGACAGGTTATGAGCCCAAGGCACCACTGCAGCATGGACACCGCCTCCAGCAGTACATCCTTTTGCAGCTTCTAGCACAACTACTCCGTTTGCAGGTGCAACCTTTACGCAAGCAACCCGAGGTCTCGGTGCACGTGTTGGAACAATTTGCACAGCAGAATACAATTGACAATAAGATCCTTGGTCCTTGGAACAACAACTACCTCGTTGGCCAACGGCTACAACCTTGTGGTAGAAATTTAGGGCGACTGCATTACTCGTCTTGTGCAGGACAACCGAGGAATTCATGATGAGCTTGAAGCCACGCGCGCTCAGTTGAGAAGGTTCGGACAATGGCTTAGACCCTCGATTGGGACCAGAACAATGGCAGGCTCAGGTGGAAGCACACATCTTGAAACTTCAGAATGAGTTCAAACATGCGAATGAACAGGTCGATGATGATCATCATAGCACGGCTTGAGTAGGACGGATCCTGATGCTCACATGGTGGGAAGCAGGTGGACGAGACCTTTTCTGCGGTGCAGCTAAAGCGTTGTCGAGGCTAAGCACCTGGACCTGGAGTTAGACCATGGCTTGGCAGAGACCAGGAAATCGATTCAAGACCGTCCAACACTCAGCAGAAGGTTGAGAAGAGTCTTGATCACGGCACTTTGTGAGCAGTTTGCCATGAACTCTGATGGTAAGAAACAAGCAGATGAACAGTATCTTGATGCCTATAAAGGTTCATGGGGGACAATCAGGCGGGACTGCAAGGTTAGGAGAAGCCCGAACAACCTTCAGGCCTAACATCTTTCTCAGCACCCTCTTCGAGTCTACAGGCATTCAAGCCTGGTTGAGCCCATTGGAGGGCCATCTAGACAGAATCCTGCTCCAGCTAAGGGCAAGGACACCAGTCAGGAACAGGGCAATGCAATTTATCACGCTCGATGGAAACTGCAGCCCAGATTTCTGGGCATGACATGGCGAAAAAAGAAGGCACCTTGTATTTTGTTTCTAACAGCAGCCATGGCGAAGCTGCTGCCATTCAAGTAGCAATTGCAGAAAGCAAGGCAGCAGTTTCCTGTGTGGACCTCGCTGACCGAGATTCCTTCCAGAGGCGTGAAAGAAGATTCTTGAACAAGGACTCCAGTTAGCATCTTCCTCAAGTTGCTCCGAGCGGGCAGCCCAGTCGCTCCATAGCACTTGCTTTTGGAACGTCATGGTAAGAGAATGGCTGGCTTGGTCACTTTGGGACCGCCGCTAAATGTGATCAAGAGATTCAAGTGCGAAAGCTTATCCTTTTTGTTGATCCGTTGTCTTTCTCAGAAATGGAAAACAAGCGTGCTGGAACAACAGAACGAGTCCAAGGGCATAAGAGCCTTGGATCTTCTAAAGGGATCTTCAAAGTTCTGCAGCCCGGCGGGCTGCAGAGATGCAATTCTTAACACGTTTGTTTGTACACTTCGGCCTGTTAAGACAGCAAAGGATGGACTCTGTCCTTAGAAGTCTTGCCAGAACCAGAGCCACAGCTCTGGCACTTCCAAAGTTAGCACCGTGCGATGGCACCCCTAAACCCTAAACCCTAAACTCTAAACCCTAAACCCTAAGCACAGACTTTGGAGCGGCGTCATGATCGTTTTCGCACTCTCTTGGGTTTGCTTCGAACAGATTCCGACATCATCCGCCCCACAGCAGCTGGAGTTGAAAAGATGGTCACTCTGATAGAGCAGCAGTTGCTGCTCAGCGCTGATGAGCACATCAAGGCGAACAGGCAGCTTGAGCCTGATCCTCAAGCTGCAAAGGGCAAAGGCAATGGCAAAGGAAAGAATAAAGGCAAGAGAGGAGGTAAGGAAACGAAGAAGTCTGCATCACGACACCAAGGATGCGGATGAGGCTGGTGCTACCCGATCGGGGACAGCATTGTGATGCTCCAATACGATTGGACACTTGTGATGTGCATCGATGCTGTGGCACAACCTTGCGTAGCAGCACATCTCATGGGCGAGGACACTGGCAGAGAGAGACTGGTGGCACTGATACGAGCGCCCTATGAACGTATGCCGTTTGTTTGTTCTTGGGAACATGCATTAACATCCAGGCAGTCAATAAGACTTCCGTGTGATCAGGCTGCATCATTGACAGATCCGAGAGCACAAGCCCAGGCAACTGAGATGTTTCATGTGAATGTACAACATCCACCAGTACATGGAACTTTACCTAGAGAAGAAGACGCAGTGCAACACAGAGCGACGTGAGTCATGCTTGTGCTGCTCAGGGTTGCACGACTGGGTTAGAACGTGATCTGGTGTTAGCAGACTCAGGTCTAACGAAGTCATTCGCCCGGCCCAAGACCAACCGCCGCCGCGATCTACGCAGGTGGACCTTACGTTGGCAGATGGCATGATTTTGCAACATTGCGCCAACAGCTTTCACAGGCCTATAGACAACAGAAACGTGTGCTGTGTGCCCGTGCTAAGATCAAGGAACCTCAGACCTTGCAGGCCATAACCATGAATAACCTGGAGAAGTGCGAGGCAGGCAAAAGAGGCGAAGGATCTGACTTAGTGCAGCATGGTAAGAATCTTGCACGGAAGGTGTCTAAGCAGTCCACAATTTCCTGCGATGATGTGCTCGACAAAGTCAAATGTTGGGTTTTTGAGCTTTTGCAGTGGGTCCTAATGTGGGAATTACA